TTTACCAAATGACCGGAAATGTTCAGAATATGTTGCCATAGATAGAGTCTTCTAATGTGTGAAGTTTGGGGGAGATTGGTAAACATATAAGCTCTTTTTTGTACATTAAGCCACATTACGCTTCCCAAAAAACAAGCTTAATGTCCCCCATTTTCTTTGTGGAAGTTTAAAATCTTTGAACCTTCTAGGACATGTTTGGTAAGTTGGGAACTTGGGCTGTGCAAAGTTTTAAGTCATTTGATTGAGGTTTAGGCACATTATGGTACGTTAAGCTCTTTTTACATTAAGCTGTTCACATTAAATGTTTTAGCACTGTGGAATATAGCTTAACCTCCCTGGCGGTATGATTATTTCCGATTTTTGGTGCTGAAAGCGGTACCGGTACCATTATTTTGCATGGAAATATGTAGTTTTTTTATTGTAGGCTGTAATATTTAGGAATAATTCACTGAAATCTGTCCGAACAAGAGTCTATTAAACATCCCGGGGATGATAAAATTTTAAACACAAAATCATAAATTATAATTTAATAAATAATCATAAAAAATAATAATATAATATTAATACATTTAATTCAATAATATAATCAAACCAAAAACACTGAAATTTGAAATAGAGCGCCAAGTTCGCACATCGCTGAGCAAAGTCGCAGAATCGTTTTTCAGTGTCTGATGACGAATTTCCCCACAAATCATTATCACTCAATTCTGCAAGTGGTTCTGATTTACTATCGCTGTTCTCTAGCTGATCTAAACCGCTTTTGACCTAAAGGGACACATTTTGTACGCCATGGACGTTTCTCAGTTTCCAGGCAGAAAGAACAGACAAAATGCAGGCAGGGCACAGGACAAAGCAGTAGGGACAAAATGTATGTGAAATTGGTTGAGGCAGCAATGTTTTACTATGTAAAATGTAAAAAAAAAAAAATGACATTATTTAAAATTTTTAAATTTCCCGCCGCCGGCGTCGGCGCCCGCACGTCCCGACGTCACAGGGACAGGACACAGAAGCCGGATGCCGGCATCGGCCGGAGGAGATGGCCGGGGACGCTGCAGGGGACACATCGTGGGAGCGCAGGGTAAGGTAAGTGAAGAACAAATGCCGGAGCAGTGCCGCATGGTATTCCCGAGTGTAGCTCGGGGTTACCGCTCTTGGTACTGAAATGTTACCCCGAGCTACACTCGGGAATACCGCCAAGGAGGTTAATGTGAATAACTTTTTGTTGTGATATACTAAATGATCTAAAATGTTCAGAATATGTTGTCACAGATAGAGTCTTCTATTGTATGAAGTTTGGGGGAAATTGGTAAACATCTAAGCTCTTTTTTGCACGTTAAGCTACATTAAGCTCCCCAAAAAACAAGCTTAATGTCCCCCATTTTCTTTGTGGAAGGCTGAAATCTATGAAACGTCTAGGACATGTTTGGGATGTTGAGAAATTGGGCTGTGCAAAGTTTTTAAATCAATTGACTGAGATTTAGGCAGTTTATTACACGTTAAGCTACATTAAGCCATTTTCACATTAAATGTTTTAGTCTGTCCCATCTTTGGGTATTGGATCAGATGTTAGCAGCTTCATATGTCTATTTATTGCTTTCTTTCTGCATAAGAGCGCAAGTAGATTTTGTATATCATAAGAACAAAAGAGTGCTTCTTGTTCTAGGAGTGCAGTTGTCTGCAAGAAATTGGTGTGACTGGTGCTTTGCTGGAACGTAGTCAGTGGGATATTCCGATGGGGCTGTTGGGTCTGTTGAGGCTACACTGTACTGGGTGTGGCGCTGACCATGAACACTGTTGCTGGTTGCACATGACTCTGGTGATGCTGTACTGACATGGCTAGTGATCAGGAACATTGTTGATGGTTGCATTGGTCTGATGACATTGTCACTGGTGTGGCAGCAATCAGAAACACTGTTGATGGCTGCACTGGTCTAGTAACACTAGGACTGGTGTGGCTAGCAATTTAGAAACACTGTTGCTGACTTGCAAGAGAGAGAGACTGCTCTTGTAACACTGGGACTGGCGTGGTGGCAATCAGGAACACTGTTGTTGGCTGCACTGGTCTGGTGACACTGTGGAGGAGATCAGGAACACTGTTGTTGGCTGCACTGGTCTGGTGACACTGTGGAGGAGATCAAGAACACTGTTGTTGGCTGCACTGGTCTGGTGACACTGTAATCAGGAACACTGTTGCTGGCTTAACCACTTCCCTTCCGGCCGCTGTATTTTAACAGCCGGATGGTGGCAGTGCAGGGGTGGGTTGCCATTCATAAACAGCGCCCATCATTTTGGAATGTGCGCGCTCCCCTTCCTCCGGACACAGCAGAACAGTGATCGCTGTATGGGACCTCTGTGTTAGGTCCCGATCATGTGACCACTGATTGGCCAATCAGTGATCACATGAATAGGTGTAAGCAAGATGTCACTTCTGACATCATTGCTTACTACGTGTGAAATCTGTGAATGATGACAGAGGTCACATGGTACAGGGCTATTCACAACAGCCTTGTACCATGTGACAAGCTGTGACCAATCACAGCTCTCACAGTATTTCTAAATGGCTGCAAGAATGCAGCCAGAGAGAAGGAGAAATGATTGCTTTTACCGCCTTTATGGGTGTAAAAGCAATCAGTGTAAAAAAAAAATCTTCATAACCCCCCACAAGTAGTACAGAGTCACTATGGTGACACTGTACTGCTAGGATGACAGTATGTAAAAAAAAAAACATAAATAATAATATAAAAAAAAAATAAAAATGTAAAAAAAACATTTTTTTAAAATTATAATTTTTGGTTATAAACTAATTTGGGTTTTTTTTTTTACTAAAAAGATAACTGAATACATTTTGGCCGAGATCTATGAAGAAAGATTATTTATTTGCAAAATGTTATAAGAAAAACACTTTTTTTTTTTATTTTTGGACTTTTTCATTTATATAGCAAAAAAAATAAAAATCCCAGTGGTGAATAAATACCACCAAAATAAACTTTCATCTCTCTAAAAAAACCATAAAAAATGCATATGGGTACAGTTTTTTGTATGACCGCGCAATTGTCATTCAAAGTGCGACAGCACTGAAAGCTGAAAATTGGCCTGGACAGGAAGGGGGTGGAAGTGTCTGGACTGGAAGTATTTAAATCAGTGTCCTTAGAGCTTCCCTTTACATCAGAATCTGCAGGATTCCTCCTTATAGTGCAAGGGGGAATGCTGAGGATCCAGATGTAAAGGGAAACTCTAAACACTGGGACTGGTGTAGTAATAAGGAACACTGTTGCTGGCCTACACTGTTCTGGTTACACCGGGACTGGTGTGGTGGTGATAAGGAACGCTGTTGCTGGCCTACACTGGGACTGGTGTGGTGGTGATAAGGAACACTGTTGCTGGCATACACTGGTTTGGTGACACTGGGACTGGTGTGGTGGTGATAAGGAACACTGTTGCTGGCCTACACTGGAACTGGTGTGGTGGTGATCAGGAACACTGTTGCTGGCCTACACTGGAACTGGTGTGGTGGTGATAAGGAACACTGTTGCTGGCCTACACTGGGACTGGTGTGGTGGTGATAAGGAACACTGTTGCTGGCCTACACTGGGACTGGTGTGGTGGTGATAAGGAACACTGTTGCTGGCATACACTGGTTTGGTGACACTGGGACTGGTGTGGTGGTGATAAGGAACACTGTTGCTGGCCTACACTGGAACTGGTGTGGTGGTGATCAGGAACACTGTTGCTGGCCTACACTGGAACTGGTGTGGTGGTGATAAGGAACACTGTTGCTGGCCTACACTGGGACTGGTGTGGTGGTGATAAGGAACACTGTTGCTGGCCTACACTGGGACTGGTGTGGTGGTGATAAGGAACACTGTTGCTGGCACACACTGGTTTGGTGACACTGGGACTGGTAAGGTGGTGATCAGGAAAACTGCTGCTGGCTGCACTGGTATGATGTAGTGATGATTGGAGACACTGTGCCTGGCTGCACTAATTAGGGCTTGTTCACATGTAAGGTTGAGGGGCAATGAAACCTTGAGGTTCAGCTGCGGTTTTACTGCCCTCCAACTGCTACCCCCTTCAGCTGCAGAAGCAGCAGCCCGGGGTTGTACACATGCTATTGCTGGGATGCTTTGCTTTACAGCCATGGCAGGAAGTATACCCTTTGTTGCTTTCAGTGACAGGTGAATGGGGGGTGCTTGGGTAGGGTCCAAGGGGTTTAATCAGGCAGTGAGAAGGTGATACAGTGCCTCCCCACTGTCTGTCAAATGCTCTCTGAAGAGTGCTTCAAACACAGTGGCTGGGTGGGAGGTGTTTAAAAACTGATGTTTAGGTATGTCAATTTTACACAAGGGCATCCCTAGGGTTGGTGTCACCCAGTGCGATAACACTTGGTGACACCCCCTCCGACGAACCCCGCAGCATGGATCGGATCTGCGGATTGAGCATAATGGATCGGACTACGATCCATTATGCTCAATCCGCAGATCTGATCCATCCTGCAGAGATCGTCAGCTTGCTTTACAACTTACCTTTTCTTGGAGCGGGTACGGTGTCACCCTGTATAGGCGCATGTTGACCATCCCCAGGTCGGATCTGCGGATTGAGCATACTGGATCAGAGTCCGATGCTCAATCGGCGGGGATCGTCGGCTTGCTTTACAACTTACCTTTTCTTGTAGCAGGTACGGTGTCACCCCGTGTAGGTAGGTGTCACCCGATGGGGCGTGCACCCCTCCGCACCTGCCTTGGGACACCACTGATTTTACATATTTGCATTGGTTCAGCTTGAACCAATGTAAATATACCAGTGCATATGTTGTGGATCCCAGTGGAATGTGAAAATCACTGTGCTAGGCACCTCTACTACAATGGGCCAAGCTGGATCTAAAATGCCATACCTACACTTCAGATTTAAACTTTTTTTCCACGTTCGTCTAACGACATTTTTTTAAAAAAAAGCTTGGCAATCCTTCCATGTATCCATTTTCATCCCTTTGTCTCTCTAAACAGGAGTGTTTTCTGAATGTTATCGAAGTGATGAGAAACGGGCAGAACTTCTTTTGATCCATGTGAATCCCAAATGGGGAAGGCCACAGCCCTGGAACTGGCTCGGCAGTCTCAAGCTCTGTCCTTTATGTCACAAGGAGGTGTCCAGGTTTGTCAGAAATGCCTTTATACCTGATCTGATATTATTATGCACAGGTAGCCTTTGTTATAAAGAAACAGACAACCAGTATAAAAAAACACTATAGAAATGTGCAAAAAGTCTCCAGAGGCAGCGATTGTGAAGCTCAAAGCTGGCAATGTATATCTGACCATGTAACACAGGCCACAATGGCTTTTTATGTATAAAATCTATGCCAACACCAAATCTTCATGGAAGTTCTTAATTTCTCTGTTACAGTTGTAACATGAGGGAAGGATAATCCCAGTGGGTGTTATGAGATAAATAAAACTCCAATCTGATTATCTCTAATCCCCACCAGTCAACTCCAGTATCCACAAGTCAACTTTGTTTCTTCTTGCCACCTGCAGTCTCCTCCCATTTCCACTCAGTGCTATTGAGTCCCCACCAGGCGTGGACTGACAACTCATGGGGCCCCCGGGCAATAGGGGATCATGGGGCCCTTGTGTCCTTGCTCAAACTCAAAAAAGCCTATGAAAAATGTACCAGGGGCATCTCATGGGGCCCCCTACTGACCCCGGGTGCTCGGGACAGTGCCCCAAGTTTCCAAATGGTCAGTCCGCCCCTGGTCCCCACCAGCCTTCTGCAGCTTCCTCCCCCAGTTCTGCTGTGCCCCACCAGTCTCCTACAATTCCATCCAGTACTCCTGAATCCTCACCAATCACCTGTAGTCTCTTCCCATTCCATCCAGTCCTTCAAAGTCCCCTCTAGTCTTCCACTTTCTTTGAGTCTCCTGTCCCCACCAGTCATTTCCAGTTCCTATTGTCCCCCATAAATCAGTGTCCTTAGAGTTTCCCTTTACATCAGGGTCTGCAGAGTCTCCCCTTGCACTGTAAGGGGGATCCTTCAGACTTTGATGTAAAGGGAAACTTTAAGGACACCAATTTAAGGGGGAATGCTGTGGGGGGGACTCTGGTAACCACAGACCACCTTCCGTAGAGTGTATACACTAAGGTAAGGGGGGTTATTGATGTAAGGGGGAATCTTTATATCAGTGCCTCCCTTACTGTATTCACTTCTCCCTTACATCAGTGACCCTCCCTCAGACAGGCCAGTCAGCGCTGTCACTGACCTCCTCTCAGGTTCACTGTGCAGAGCTCAGTCAGACAGTCCTCTCCAGGCTCCAGCTTGGTGGCTCTGGTTTCATCCTATATTCTCCTCTGCACAGTCCACAAACATCTGACTCCTCCCATGACCCCTGTCCCGGCAGTGCTCCTGCTCTTGACTCCTCTCCAGGCTCCCCCTCAGAGACTTCAGACATGATACAAGAGAAGGTCAGAAACTACAGGCATGATACAGGAGATTGTCAGAGATTGTGGACACGATACAGGAGATGGCCAGAGATTGCAAACATGATACAAGAGATGGTCAAAGACTGTGACATGATAAAAGAGATGGTAAGAGTCTGTGGACATAATACAAGAGATGGCGAGAAGTGGAGATCTGTCCAATCTCTACTTCTGTTTCCATCAGTAGAGCGTGACAGGTCTTTAATGGCCGTATAGTGTTGGTGAGTGAACATTTTTACTGCACAAGGTGGAGCACATTGCTGGAATTAAGAATTACTTCACACTGGCACCTAATGACATGATACAAGAGATGGTTAAAGACTGTGCAGAAATAATACGAGAGGTGGTCAAAGTCTGAAGACATGAAACAAGAGATGGTCAAAGACTGTGAACATGACACAAACGATGGTCAGAGACTGTGGACATGATACAAGAGATGGTCAGAGACTGTGGACACAATATAAGAAATGGTCAGAGATTGTGGACACAATACAAGAGATTGGTCTTATTGTGCTCATGACAAGCTCTCACCTGGCTACCACCACCACGGCTGTCTTTAATATTGATTGGACCCTGGGCAAACATTTTCTTGGGCCCCCCCATGAAATTTCGCTCTCCACCTGTTCTGAGACATACAATAAATAGCAGCTAAACTCAAAATCAGTTTACTGCAGCAGATCAGGCAGCAATTGCAATTGGTTGCCGGAGATTACAGCATATCATTACCACTCACTGACAAGTTGCTAGAGGTTACAGCACACATTACAGCTCACTGATTAGTTGCTAGAGGTTACAGCACATGATTTCTGCATGCTGATTGGTTGCTAGAGGTTACTGCACATCATTACTGCTCTCTGATTGGTTGCTAGAGGTTTCTGCACATTCTTACCACTCACTGATTGGTTGCTAGAAGTTGCTGCACATTATTACTGGTCACTGGTTGGTTGCTGGAGGTTACTGCACATCCTTACCACTCACTGATTGGTTGCTAGAGGTTACAGCACTTAATTACGTCTCACTGATTGGTTGCTGAAGGTTACAGCACATCATATCACTGCCTGCACACCATGGACTGAGAAGGTTAGGGGACCCTCCAATAGACAGAAAATTCATAGGACTCCTGGGATCAATAGCAGTGCTGGGCAGGAGGGTGTGATCATTGGCAGTGGTGGAGGGAGGGTTGATGGTATCAGTGGCAGTGCTGTGGGGAGGGTTGATGGCATGAGTGGCAGTGGTGGGAAGGATGGAACAAGTGGCAGTGCTCGGTGGATGAGATGAGTGGCAGTGCTGATGGGGGGATGGGATAAGTGGCAATGCTTGGGGGGATGGGAACAATGGCAGTGCTTGGCGTGGAAGGGAAAAGTGGCAGTGCTGGATGGGGATGGAAGGTGACATTTCTGCATCGACTACCAGTGTTAGGGAGGGTTAAAACTGAAGACCAATGTAATGGGGATTTACACTGGCCATCAGTGTAAGGGCAATTCTGCACTTACCACCAATGTAAAAGGAAATTTACAATGGTCACTAATGTAATGGGGAACTTGCTCTGAAGACCAATGTAATGAAAAAATTACACTGGCTACCAATGTAATGGGGGATTTCTACACCAACAACCAATACATTTCTACACTGGCCACCAGAGGTGTTGGTGGCTGGAACCTCGGGGGGGGGGGGGGGGGGGGGGGGGGGGGGGGTTGGGGGCATCATATAGATATGTATGCCACACTGCCACAACTATTTACATGTGAATGTCACATTGCTGTCGCTATTTACATATGAATGCCACCATTTTTTATATGTGAATGCTGATAAGGTCTGCACATGTTTTTCATCTGTACATGGCAATAGGACAGAGCTGGGCAGTATAAGTAACAGCACTTCACACTGAGATATCTGACACAGCCTGGGACAAAGACTTCCAGGGACAAGGGAATGTAAACCAGTACAGTTGGCAAGTATGGAATAGTTGCTTTGGGCCTCACAACAATGACTGGGCCCAGGGCAGCTTCTCCTTTTGCCCCTCCTTAAAGATGGCCCTGACCACCACATTGCTGCAGCAGCTGCCAAACATTAGAGGCATAGCCACAAGAGCCACAGCCACAGACGCTCCTGCCACAGAGTGCAGTTAGATGATCCCGCTGTACACTCCCCTGTCTCCTACTACAAACAGGAGTCCATTCTGAGCACCCTGCATTCTGGGAGGTGCAGTCTCTGCGAGCACAGGCATGGTGGGCCAAGTCCAATGTGTGCAGTATGGAGAACTACAACTCCCACCATGCAGCACCGTGCCGGCTTTGGGAGAAAGCTAAGATGGCGGTAGAGCCTGCCATTGGCTGCAGCTGACGGGATGGTCACGGAAGTTACAGAATGGAGAGGGAGAGCTAAGCCCAAGGAAGATTGCTGTGTGTAGAGTGTTTATTCTCAGTGTGAGGTGGGTGTTTCAACCATTTGAAACCTCCATGATGTCACCACGTGCCTGCCCCTAACCCCGATCCAGCAGGCTTTGAAACTGCACATGTGCAGTTTCAAAGCTGGCCCGTAACCATATTTTTTATGGGCAGTTGCCATTCGTAAGAGACATTTATGGGACAGGATAAATACTCGGCCAATTTTTACAAACTGTCCGTAAATTTACAGTTGGTTGGCAACCTGCCCTAGTCTCTTGTAGTCTTTCCCAGTCACTCACATCTTCTCTAGTCTCTTCCTGACTCTTCCAGTCTCCTCCAGTCTTCTCCAGTCACCTTCAGACTCCTCCAGTTTTCTTCCCTAACCTTCAATCTTCTCAAGTCTCCCTCAGTCTACTCCGGCCCCCTCTAGTGTCCTCCAGTCTCCTAGAATTACTTACTCCAAACACCTGTAGTTTTCTTCAGAAACATCCTTCGACTTCAAGACACCTCCCATCTTCTCCAGTCCCCTCCAATCTATTTTATTCTCCTATAGTTTCTTTCAGTCTCCTTTTTCCCCCTGCTGTCTCCTCCATTGTCCTCCAGTCACCCCAGTCTCCTCCTTCCAATCTCTTCCAGTCTCAACCTCTAGTCTCTTCTAGTGAACTTCAGTCTCTTCCAATGATCTCCTGTCACACTCAGTCTCTTCCAATCAACCTCAGTCCCCTCCAGTCCCATTGAGTCTCTTACAGTCTCTTCCAGGTTTCTCTTGTCCCCTCCAGTCTGCTGCACTCTTCTCCTGCCCCTCCCATCAACTCCCTTCGCATCTCTAGTCTCCCCGCCCCCCCGTTACAGTCTTCTCCAGTCATCTCCAGTCTCCTATAGTGACACCCAGCTTTCTCCAATCTCTTCCATTCTACTTTTTTCCTCCCAGGTCTCCTCCTGTCTCTTTGAGTCTGTTTACCTCTCCCTCTGTCCCCTCCCATATCCCCCAGTTACCTCCAGCCTTCTCTAGTCTCTTCTTGTCTCCTCCCTAGTCTCTTGCAGTCTTCTCCAGTTACTCTAACCTTACATCTTCTCAAGTCTCCTTCAATCTACTTCTACTCCTAGTATTCTCCAGTCTCCTAGAGTTACCTACTCCAAATACCTGTAGTCTTCTCCAGAAACATTCTTCAACATCCAAACACCTCCAATCTTCTCCAGTTCCCTCCGATCTATTCCATTCTCCTATAGTCTCTTTCAGTCTCCTTATTGCCCTGCTGCCTTCTCCATTGTCCTACAGTCACCCCAGTCTTCTACAGTTTCCTCCTGTCTCCTTTAATCTTTCCCAAAATTACACTGTCTCCTCTAGTCTCTTCTAGTCACCTCCAGTCTCCTGCAATCTTCACCTATCCCTTCCAGTCTTTTCCAGTCCTCTCCAGTCTCCTCCTGTCCCCCAGTTTCTTCCAGTCACCTCCAGTCTCTTCCTGTTCTTTCCAGCCCCCTACAATCCATTATCCCCTTCAGTCGCTTACACACTCCTCCAGTTCCCTTCCACCATCTCCTTTCTTTTCCAGTTTCTTCCTGTCTCCTCAGGTCTCCTATTCTTCCCTCCAGTCTTCTCTGGTCCTATTCATTCTCTGCCAGTATGTCTCCTCCAATTTCCTCCTGTTTCACCAAGTCTCCTTTAGTCTCTTTCAGTCTCCCTCCTGTCCCCTCCAATCTCTTCCACTCCCCTCATGTCAGCTCCAGTTACTTCTGTCCACTTTAGATTCATCCAGTCTCTTCAGTCACCTCCGATCACCTCAAGTCACCTCCAGTCTCCTCCATTTCCAGTCTACTTTAACAACTTTCAGTCAGTTCCAGTCCCCTCCCGTCACAATCAGACAAGTGCAGTGTCCTCCAGTCATCTTCAGACACCTTCAGTCACATAAAGTCCCCTCCAGTCACCTGCATTTATTTCTATACCCCACCAGACACCTACAGTTCTTGCTAATTTTTTTTTCTTACTTAGCAGTTTTTGTGCTCTGGGGAAGACGATATAGGTGCCATCACTTGATGAGACATTCTTAAAATTAAAAACATTTGCGCTTGTTTTGAACTAACCCCTAAAACCTTCTTTACACCATATATGATTTTCCCATTTTCATGTGATGGTGGATGACAGTTTTCTTAAAAGGATTTTAAAGGTTGAAGGTTTTTTTGCCTAATGCATCCTTCAGTATGCAGCTCCCTCACCCCCCAAGTCCCCTCAAATACCTACCTGAGCCTGATCTCGATCCAGCAATGTGCATGAGAGCAGAGGCTCTCTCAGCTCTCTATCCTATTGGCTCAGTCATTGGTCCCTGCTGGTGTCAATCACAGCCAGTGAGAAGGGAGTGGGGGGTGGGAACGAGCTGTGCTTTGTGTGTCCTTTGGACACACAGAGCCAGCTCAGTAGTGAGCATACACGAGTACCCCCAAGCAGCTTGCTATGTGGGCAGTTGGCGGGTTGGAGGTGCCAGGAGTGCTGGTGGTAAACCCACGAAGAGGAGGCTGCTCTGTGCAAAACCATTGCACAGAGCAGGTAAGTATGACATGTTTGTTATTTTAATACAAAAAGAACCTTTACAACCACTTTAAGGACATTCTACAGTCACACCATACACTTTCATTTTAAAATATTAGCATTAAAATAACAATACAGTAACAATGACAATCCAATATGAACTCACTTGAACAATGCCCTTTCATTTTACTAGTGATGCCTGTCTGCTTGCCATCTCTTTCACCAACTTCCTTAGTTCCCTGTATGCTTTGCAGCTTCTCCTCTGCTGTTCACCTTTGATTTCTGAGGACTGTGTATTCAATATAATACCTTGATGTCTGAAAGGAGTGATTCTTATACTGAATGTGCTTCCTGAAATTCTACCTCTCAGCACCTCTGTAGTTCAGAAGGCAGGGTTTGTGAATTCTGTGTGGGATTTTTCACAAAGCAAGTTTGAAAATTTTAAAATCATTCAGAAATAATAAGCTAGAAATAATAGGAATTCATTATGGAAATAAATACATGAATTTAAAATGTTGACCATAGATTTATGTTTAAAAGATAACTCAACTTATAGAACTTAAAGCATAGCTATATTGAAAATGTATTATTCTGCAGCTCATTGGTGTGATTTCTGGCACCCCACATCCTACTAGGCATTTCATTTAATTTCAATTCATTTTTCAGATGAAAATTTCATTTTCGGAGATTGGGATGTATGCGAATCTCACTAGTAACAAATATCAATAAATCCGAAAAAAGATGTAACAACATTAATGAATGGATTTATTTCATTCGAATGATATGATGCAATAGTAGTTTGGGTCCATGGAAAAACGAATAAAGTGTTTTAATTTGTTCGATAATTCAGATATTGATAACAAATGGATCCAAATTTCGTTCCATTTGCTAATTTGGATGCACATGACGCCATGCCATTTGTCTTGGTGGGTTGGATAAGTATCTGAAACTATTGTATCAGTTAGATTTGATAATATATCAAATACATAGCAATCTTCTGGAAAAACTGCTATTTTGTTCAAATCCACCCAGACCAACGAATTTACAAAACGAATGCCGAAGATACTGAACGAATTCTGAAAACAAATTGAGATAACATAACAAAGATAACGAAAATAAATTCTTCAATGAATGAATGCATCCAAAATGAAACAAAACTTTCTGGTGTGCACATGTCTACACATGTCCTGCACCACATTAGATTATACACGGCTCAAAGAAATTAAAGGAACACTTTGAAAACACATCAGATCTCAATGGGGAAAAATATCATGCTGGATATCTATACTGATATGGACTGCTTAATGTGTTAGGAACATCAGGATGCCCCATTGTTTGATGGAAATGAAAATGATCAAACTACAAAGGACTGAATTCAAAGACAGCCCGAAAAGTGAAGAAATGAAGCAGCAGGCGAGTCCATTTTGCTGAAATGTCATTGCAGCAACTCCAAATGATCCTCAATAGTTTGTATGGCCTCCACATGCTTGTATGCATGTCTGACAATGTTGGGGCATGCTCCTAATGAGATGACGGATGGTGTCCTGGGGTATTTGCTCCCAGATCTGGACCAGGGCATCACTGAGATCCTGGATTGGATAGTCTGAGGTGCAACCTGGTGACGTCAGATGGACCGAAACATGACATCCCAGAGGTGTTCTATTGGATTTAGGTCAGGGAGGCCATTTAATGGTATCCATTTCTTCATCCTCCAGGAACTTCCTGCATACTCTCACCACATGAGGCCAGGCATTGTCGTGCACCAGAAATAACGTAGGACCCATTGCACCAGCGTAAGGTCTGACAATGGGTCCAAGGATTTCATCCTGATACCTAATGGCAGTCAGGGAGCCATTGTCTAGCCTGTAGAGGTCAGTGCATCCCTCCATGGATATGCCTCCCCAGTCCATCACTGACCCACCACCAAAACGGTCATGCTGAATGATTTTACAGGCAGCTTAATGTTCTCTACGGCTTCTCCAGACCCTTCCACGTCTGTCACATGTGGTTAGGGTGAACCTGCTCTCATCTGTGAAAAGCACAGGGTGCCAGTGGTGGACCTGCCAATTCTGGTGTTCAATGGCAAATGCCAATCCAGCTCTATGGTGCCAAGCAGTGAGCACAGGGCCCCCTAGAGGAGGTCAGGCCCTCAGGCCACCGTCATGAAGTCTGTTTCTGATTGTTTGGTCAGAGACATTCACACCAGTGGCCTGCTGGAGGTCATTTTGTAGGGCTCTGGCAGTGCTCATCCTGGACCTTCTATGGCCCTGTCCAGCTCTCCTAGAGTTACTACCTGTCTCCTGGATTCTCCTCCATGCTCTTGAGACTGTGCTGGGAGACACAGCAAACCTTCTGGCAATGACACGTATTGATGTGCCATCCTGGAGGAGTTGAACTGCCTGTGCAACCTCTGTAGGGTCCAGGTATGGCCTCATGCTACCAGTAGTGACACTGAACCTAGCCAAATGCAAAACTAGTGAAAAACAGTCAGAAATTATTAAACAAAGAGTAGGGAACAAAATGTCAGTGGCCTCCACCAGTAAAACCATTTTGGGGGTCATCTTATTGTTGCCCATCTAGTGCACCTGTTATTAATTTAATTAATACCACAGCAGCTGAAACTGATTAACAACCCCCTCTGTTACTTAACTGACCAGATCAATTTCCCAGGAGTTTCATTGACTTGATGCTAGACTCTGATTAAAAAGTGTTCTTTTAATTTTTTTGAGCAGTGTATAATCATAACATGTCTATTGTATTTCCACAGACATTCCTCACGAAGACCTGGTGGGGGAAACTTTCAGTGGACAATGGCTTCATCCAGCTTTTGCTGTGTATGTTGTTTTTCCCTCTCATCTACAGCAACCTCATCAACTACAGGTCTGTCTGCCATCATTTCTCGCAATACAGTGATTTGTGGATTCTGGAGTATTCTGTTGTCCAGACGCCTGGTCTACGGGAAGCCAGTAAATGTCAGTGGTAAAAGGTCTGGCAGGATTTGGGCATTTAAAAGAGATAGCCGGAAAAGAGGGTTTTGATCTTGCCAGGCTTTTTCTCTGATGTAGAACAGCTTTAGTGTTATCCCATAGTGAAATACTTCTTCAGCTTGTGGTACAGTCCAGTTATCTCGGAAGTTAGTAGACATAGCCCTTTCAGCTTGGGTTCTTCTTCAGTTTCCATGAGTAAAATATTTATTTTGCAAATGCAGGATGGAAGGAAAGTACCATAACTGCCATAGGTGAACTATGCCATAAGGCAGGGGTGGGCAACTGTGGCCCTCCAGCTGTTGTAGAACTACAAGTTCCATGACACATTGCAAAACTGACAGTTACAAGCATGACTCCCAAAGGCAGAGGCATGATGGGACTTGTAGTTCACCAACAGCTGGAGGGCCACAGTTGCCCACCCCTGCCATAAGGTCAAACTACTGCTGATTCTTACTGATGTAGTTACTTTAAAACTTGAGTACAGTGTTTGACCAAGAGGTCCTCTAAACAATGTGAACTGTATAGCCAGTTGCAGTTTAGCAGACCATGGAAGCTCACTTGTCTTCTTAGACATGCCAAGCCTCCTAGATATCACCAGATTGTAGTTCGGGCTTGATATCTGCACTCACCAACCACTGTAATAGGTACAACTTGCTAGTATCGGGTTGGACCCTCTTTTGCCTTCAGAACTGCCTTAATTCTTTGTGGCATAGATTCAACAAGGTGTTGGAAACATTCCTCAGAGATTTCAGTTCATATTGACATGATAGCATCACACAGCTGCTGCAGATTTTCCGGCTGCACATCGATGATGCGAATCTCCCATTCCACCACATGCCAAAGGTGCTCGATTGGACTGAGATCTGGTGACTGTGGAGGCCATTGGAGTACAGTGAACTCATTGTCATGTTCAAGAAACCTCTTACATCAACAAGGCATTTTTGTCCACACAACTGCCGCTTACTGGATATTTTCCCTTTTTTGGACCATTCTCTGTAAATCCGAGAGATGGTTATGCATGTAAATCCCAGTAGATCAATAGTTTTTGAAATACTCAGACCAGCCCGTCTGGCACCAACAACCATACCATGTTTAAAGGCACTTAAATCCTCTTTCTTCCCAACTCTGATACTCGGTTTGAACTTCAGCAAGTTGTCTTCACCACATCTAGATGTCTAAATGCATTGAGTTGCTGCCATGTGGTTGGCTGATTAGCAATTTGTGTTACAAACTGTTAGGGATCCGGGTATGACCAGAAATATGTGGACTGACACAGGGAAGTAGCAGGCTTCAGGAACACAGGCGTAGTCAGGGCTGGAGAGATGGAATGGTCAGGCAGGCCGTTAGGTACTGTCAGGCACCGCCCGGCGGGATCTCTAGTACCCACAGACTGGGATTCCCCAGGGTGCGTAGTCTAAGCCCCAGTCTGCCTTTTCACCAGAGCCCCTGATGGTGGGGATGGACTTGGCACAGGATTGAGACCAGGCCGCGTCTCCTGAGTGCACCCAACTGTGGTAGAGGGGTCCACCGAGGGTATGTACCGTGGGAAAGCCTGACGTGAAGAGGCTGGCAGACCTGGTAACAGGGACAGATCCGTGCGGGATGGATGGATGGATCGTCTGGGTAGCGTCAGGTGTAGTCAGGCAGGCCAGGTCAGCAACGTGTGGGCAGCGAGGTACCGGAGGAGCAGGCAGAGAATAGTCAGGGCCACAAGCCGGGTTCAATAACTCACGGGCAGCGCGGTACAGAGGATCAGGCAGAAGGATGGTCAGGCAAGCCAGGGATCAAGCAGGAGAAGTCAGCAGAGGTTAGGATCAGGCAGGGTTGGCAACAAATCAGATAGTCAGCAGAACAGGAACACAGGATACCAGGTACAGGGGCTCATGGGACCAATACACCAAGGCACTGATCACAGGCCTGGTCATTCCTTAAATACACCTCCTGCAATCAGCCCCAGGTGTTGGCTGACTGCAGGAGTGAGCTTCTGGCTGCTGAGAGCACCCGCTGGTCAGCCCTGGTACTGCAGCCCACACGGCAGGTGAGTCCCATCCTGACACAAACCAATTGAACAGGTGTACCTAATAAAGAGGCTGGTGAGTGTACATTAGAGAAGATGTTACAGATGAAAAATAATTCCGAATGGTTATTAAAATTTCTTGTTATGCTGAGATGTCATGCGCTTAGTTCCAGTTGCACTATTTCAGCTAATTTGAGCTGTGCTTTTTTGTAGGAAAGGTTATACAAATTCCCCATCTTCTCTCGATGTAAGTCCAAATGAGAAGAGGAATCAGAGGATCGGTCAAGTTTCCAGAAGCGATTCAAAGGGGTAAGGCAGAGCAGGGAGCTTCATTCATTCTTTTACAGATTCTTAATTAAAGATTATAAGCGCTGACACCGACGGCTTTCATATGGTTGGCAATAGATTATTTGTTCTTTTTAAAATCAGCCACAGGACTGATCAATTAAAAAAAAAATGAACTGATTATCTCATCCACACAAGTTGCTACAGTACTGATTGGCGTAGTGGAGGAATCCTTGCTGTCAGAATAGCACAGAGGGATTCCTCCACTGTTAGAATACACCAATCAGCGCTTCAGGCTTTTGTTCCAACATTCAATAAAAGTCAGTTGACAGATCAACTTCTGTCAAGCTGATACGGGAATGAACGGATCAACATTCAGCAGGTCCCTGCTGAGCCATGGTGTGTATGATCAGCTTAAGCCGTATAAATTCCATGTCCTCTTATAGATGAGACACCCCAATAAAGCTTTAGAAACACAGGGGGAATAACTGACTCCTTGGCCTGTAGCTACATTGTCAGCATTCTTACATCTCTCAACTGGGGACAGACCCATACATATCAGCCTTCTACACCTGTCAATATCTGCCACCTAGATATGAACCATCCGTGTCCCTTACCATCATCTCAGCACAAACAACAGAACAACATAATCCAGGTTTTTTTTAATGTCCATTCAAAAACTTCTTAATCACTGATTTACAGTGTTTAAAACCTGCTGGCCATTGGTCATGGACTACTAGTGGGAATACCAATCTGTTCTTCTTTTGCTTGTGTTGTGCTTATCAGGTGGTAACCCTGATTGAATAACTGAAACATTGAAATTGCATTCTTTCCTGAAAATGTAACCAACAACTACATTCTATACCTGCCTTACAAATAACTCTGCATTGACCTGCCTTCATCACTAAAATCTGCATATTGGTCTCCATCAAAAACATCTCCACCCTAACTTCAGTCATAAACACAGCCATACTGGTCTCTGAAAGGATCTAGATAACCTCCATTTTGTTGATGTACGCCATTTTAAGTATTAAGTTAGGTTTTTACAGATATATTAGAAGTTTAATGAAACTGTTTCAGCTTGCACCAAAAAGTATAAACAATGATAAGAGGACCCTGACATTTTCTTTGTTCGGCTAATTCTCAGAAAGCTAGCAAAAACAGTTTATACCAAGAAATGTATATGTCATGTTTCATGTAGTCAGCTCATGATGGAAACTTACAAGTTACAGTTTTGAAACTCGCTCCCCCTCCCTTATTTTTTCTGTATCCCATATAATCTTAGTAATGTCTAATAAACTTTGAACATCTCTGAATATAAGCTGCCGTTATTTCCGTGTTCAAGGGGTGTTCCCAGAATTCTGCTGATAAACCAGGAATCTCTCCACAGACCGGGGGTCTCTGAGGGAATAAAGATAATCAATCCTTTCAGTCTCCATTCTAAAAACCTTTACACCAGTCTCCATCATAAACACCTGATGAAAACAGAGAAAAAATATCCATGCTGTGTCTTTAAGAATATGGCAGCTAACACAAATAGGTAGTATAACAAACAAACAAATGTGTAAACAATGATCTATTACATCAAAATGTGCCCAGTATGATCCATAAAAAATCAAAACCGGTAAATATCTTGAGAGAAACAGTCCACCACCTTTGACAGAAGTGAAAATTCTTCATAAAATGTGTTCAGAGGTCCACCACCGTCCCTTTGTGAATTTCAAACTCACTAGAAACATTGGCTGCCATTACAACAGCAAGAACGCCCATGTGTCATATCCACAAACAGCCAATGAAAATGAGATGCTGACAATTTATGCGGCAACATCCGCCTTTTGGTAGAACCAGGGCTACAATAAATAAAGCTTCCCAGGAGCCAAACAAATCTCCAATAGTGTAGTATTTATTAAAAGCAGATATAAAAATTCCAAGCAAGAAAAACAATGTATATAACTTACATATATAGCCGCTGCCGACCTGGGATTGCGCAGCGGCATGGCGTCAGCACTAGACACTCCTCCCCAGGGGAGTGTAAGCTATATACATTTTTTTTCTTGCTTGGAATTTGTATATCTGCTTTTAATAAATACTACACTATTGGAGATTTGTTTGGCTCCTGGGGAGATTTATTTACTATAGCCCTGGTTCTACCGCAAGACGAATGTTTACGCAACAATCGTCAGCATCTCATTCACATTGGTTGTTTGTGAATATGACACATGGGCATTCTTGCTGTTGTAATGGCTGCCAACGTTTCTGTTGAGTGGTGGACCTCTGAACATATTTTATGAAGAGTTTTCACTTCTGTCAGAGGTGGTGGACTGTTTCTCTCAAGATTTTCACCGGTTTTGATCATAAACACCTGCACACTGGTCCCATCATAAACATGTCCCCACCAGCCCTATTTCAAGCACTTCCACACCAGCCTTTAACATAAACTTCTCCTTGTACCTGCCATTATCATAAACATCAACACAGCGATCTTCACAAACAACCTCTATTATGAACATCTCCAATCTGACTTCCATCATAAACACCTCTAAAAAAGCTCCTAACACCCACTTAGTGGTTAACACGTCTGCCTTGCAGTAAATGGGTCATGGGTTTGATTCCCGACCATGGCGCCTCCTGCATGGAGTTTGCATGTTCTCTCTGTGCTTGCATGGGTTTCCTCCGGGTGCTCCGGTTTCCTCCCACACTCCAAATACATGCTGGTAGGTTAACTGGATCCTGTCTAAATTGTCCCTAGTATGTGTATGTGTATGTATGAATGTAAGTTAGGGACCTTAGATTGTACACCCCTTGAGGGTTAGGGACTGATGTGAATGTTCAATATATATGTAAAGCGCTGCGTAAATTGACGGCACTATATAAGTACCTGAAATAAATATATAACACCTAAATTACATCACCGATCTTGTCTCTAAATACCACCCAAACTGTACTCTCTGCTCCTCGCAAGACCTCCTACTCTATAGCTCCCTTGTCTCCTCCTCCCATGCTCATCTCCAGGATTTCTTCAGGGCTTCTCCCATCCTCTGGAACTCCCTACCCCAATCTATCAGACTATCGCCTACTCTGCTCACTTTTAGGCACACTCTGAAAACCCATCTCTTCACAGAAGCCTACCTCGACCCCAGCTAATACTGGAATCTTTTACTCTTCCAACCACTCCATCCCCCACAGCTAATTACCTTTTGTACCACTAGCCCCCCCCTCCTAGATCGTAAGCTCCAAGGAGCAGGGCCCTCTAATCCCTCTTGTAATGAACTGTATTGTTACTGTACTGTCTACCTCCATAATGTAAAGTGCTGAGCAAACTGTCGGCGCTATATAAGTCCTGTATAATAATAATAATGACACCCCTACAACGGCCTGCATTATAAACACCTCCCTGCCGACCTTAATTGTAACAACCTCTATGCCAGTCTCCTTCATAAACATGTTCACACTAACCTGTATCATAAAAAAAATCAGCCTTTAATAAGCACCGTCACACCCACCTCCATTATATAAACACCTTCACACCAGCCTCCATTATCAACACTTCCACCCAGGTCTCCATTATTAACACCCCCCACCCAGGTCTTCATCATAAAAACCATTGCACTCTTTATATCTTATACCAACTTTGTCAGTCCACTTTCTGATTTTCTTACTTGGTGGATCATAGATTCTTTTAATTTCTGTTTAAAAATATCTCCATGATATTCATCAAATTCATTCACATCCTTGGACTTATCACCTCATGATGGAAACATCAGTTCTTTGTGTTCTGTTTATGCCCCTCCAGTACTGAAAATTATTGTTTCTATATATTTGTAATGTTTGAACACTTCTGGCTGACTATGTTGTAATTTCTCCTACAGACTTAAACCGTACAGCTGTCTCTGGAAGCTTCAGGCTTTCTTCAGTGCTCCAATAGTGAAATTCTATTATAACGTTGTGTCATATGTTGGATTTTTGTGGCTTTTTGCATATGTTCTGATTGTTGATTTCCAAACCCATCCATCCTGGAGAGAATATATATTGTACATTTGGGTCTTCTCCATCTTTACCGAGGAGCTACGTCAGGTATTGTTAGATTATTGTATTGAATTTAGCATCCAACAGTTTGCTCATCACTCTACAAAATAAGACGATACATTACACTTACAATACAATTTAGGAAATGAGGTTTAAAAGGGCCCTACTCTAGTGAGCTTACAATTTTAAAAAGAAAGAGCCTAGTTATATAAAAGAAAATAACTATCAGGGGAAAATGTGAAGGAGAAAGTATAGTTCAATTTTTAGGTTGAGGTGGGATAGGCTTCCCCAAAGAGGTGAGTTTTCAGGGATTATCTAAAGAGGGATAGATAGCTCAAGAGATTGGAATAGGAAGATCCAAAGCATGCAGGAGGCTCTGAATAAGTCTTGGAGGCAAGCATGAGTGAAGGTGATAGGAGAATTAAAGAGTAGGATTGAGTTGAATGCACCTCAGTTTGGTTTGCGGGAGTTTGTCAAACAACTCACAATTTTCAACATTAATCCCAAAACAATTGAAATCAATGGGAGCCAAATCTTTAAAATCAGTTCTGGCTATTTTGAATACTAATAGGGAAGGGATTGTTGAACAAATTGCACAAATTGGCTAAAAAAGTAAAAACAATTCAGTTTTGCAGCCAACAGTAGGTAGCAGTACTTTTAATAAGACGTAAACCTAAGGTGAAACACTAAAATGCACAAATCCTTTAAAAACCTGCTTGGGGGATGTCTTAAACCTTCCTGTGAAGTGGCATATCTTTAGGATGTATACAATGTGCTACAGCAAAAGTGACATTTACAAGTAAAAAAATTGCCTGGTTGTTAGGATGCAGCTGCTGGCTTCCTAATACACAGGAGCCCTGCATGGGAAGCTGCCACATCTAGCAATGGTAGTAATACCACCCTAAATGTGACTTCCTGCTGCAGCTGAAGTTTGGTTTAGAGGGCGGGATGGGTAAAGCAAATTCAAACCAAATCCTACTTTAGTCCAAACCTGATGCTCATCCCTACTAAAAAGCAAGAAGCCTTTGGAAGAAAGCAGAGAACAATTGCTTGATATTTTGAGATACGTTTGATTATGTAGTTTGGGGCACTCTCTTGTGGATTGCTTTGTAGGTTGTTAGCATTTTTTCCCTAGCAGTTTTATTTGTTGGGTAAGTGGAAGCCAGTGAAGGGATTGGCAGAGAGGGGTACCCCAACAGTGGATGAGCCTGGCAGCAGTATACATGATGGATTGAAGGGGGCTAGCCTGTAAAAGCAGGCCAATTCTATTAGTCTAGGTAAGAGATAAGGGAGTAAAAGGGTATCAAAGGCAGCAAAGATTTGGACAATGATTGGATGTGGGGCTTGAAGGGGAGGAAATAGTCCAGGATTGCACCTAGCACCCTGGCAGAGTTGGGGGGGGGGGGGGAACATATGATTGTGCTATTGATCTTGAGGGAAAAGGCAGGAGAGGGGGCTCGGAGGAATATTATGAACTCAGTTTTAAAAAAAAATTTGAGTTTGAGGATGTGGTGTGTCCTCACCAGGGGCGGACTGACCATTTGGAAACTCGGGCACTGCCCAACAAAGGGACCGGGGCACAGTAGGGGGCCCCATAGTCCAGATTGCCCTGGTACCTTTTTCATGGGGGGGGGACATATGATTGTGCTATTTTTTTGAGGGAAGCAAGGACAGGAGGGGCCCCATAATCCCTTATTTAAAAAAAATGAGTTTGTCAGTCCGCCCCTGTGTCCTCACACTAAAATGTCAGTTAGTAAATTAGTAATGCCCAAGGAAACTGAAGGAGTGAGTTGAGAGATAGATTTGGGTGTTGTAAGAGTAGAAATTCGCAATATTCCCATCGCTCACTTTCCTGAAATGGGCTGGAAGCTAAACAGGTGCTGTGGCAACAACCAGCTGGGAACTGGTAACATCACAGGTCAATATGTATATTCACGGGAACACCAAGGATAGTACACTTTAGTAATGTCCAAACACTTTTATTCAAAGAGATCACATCACAGCAAGAAAGTGCAAAGTTCAGGGGCAATGCTGGACCTCTTTGTCAGGCATGTGATATCTTTGAGTAAAAGCTTCATCCAATGAAGGGAGGAGGAGTAGATAGAGAATAGAAGGGGTTGGAGGACTCCTTGGAGAACCTGTATGGAAAGTGGAAAAGGAGAGGAAGAGATGAAATTGTTGGTGATTTTGAGCACTTAGATAGGTAGGAGGAAACCCAAAGAGAGAGCAGAATATTGGAAACAGAGTTTTTTGAGGAGAGAAACAGATGGTTAAATGTATCAAAGGCAGCAGAAAGGTCTAATGACATGATTATGGAGCAGTGGTTATTGGTTGTAGCAGTTAGTAAATTAAGAAGGTTGTTATCAGTGAGGCAGCATTTCCGATTAGGCATTTTAGAAGTTTGGAAAAAGGAGTTGAGTCTTAAGGTGTTTAGACTATTAAGGTCGAGCAAGGGCTATTTAAGTATGGGGTAAACAGTGCATGTTTAAAAGAGAGAAGTAGTAGAAGATGTCCAAAGTGAGGGAGAGACTGAAGAGAGCCTAGAATAAAGAAAGAAGGTCACCAGAGCAGTTCTGAGGGGAGACAATTCAGGGGCAGATGGCTAGGTGAACATCAGTGAAAGGTTTAGCAACCTCAGCTGTAGTAACATGGTCAAAAGGGCAAAATGGTAAATTTGGTGGTAGACATAGTATGTTAAGTGGGGGAGAAATCTGTACATACAGTGTATACCCCATTAAACACAGTCAATGTTTACTGTGGGTGCAGATGTGTCTGTGAAAGGTCTGTTGTGTCCATCAGCACAATTCATGACTGGGTGCTTCTCAGTACAGAAAGGTTTATGAGTTGAGTATAGATATTTCTCTCTTCCCATCATTTTAACTCCTCACCCCTTACCAAGTAAGAAATACTACAGTCATCTCTATCCATGTGTAGTCTAGTCCAGCGACGTCCAATTTAACAGGGCCCAAGGGCCACATTTATATCCACAAGTGTAGTGGGATTTTATTTTCTATGCAATCTATAGTAAAATAAGTAAAAAAAAAAAACCCTTGAGGACCAGCGACATACCCGTACGTTGCTTGACTTCAAACAGTTTTACCGGGATGATGCCTTCAATCATTTTTCCCACTGGAGGACTCAAATGACCAGCCAAACAAAGCTTGGATTGGCTTTGTTCCGCTCCCAGTTATAATAATCCGGAAGTGATATCAAGTCACTCGGCAGTAAAAAATTAAAGCATTCAAAAACACAGATCTTGCTGTTTTGATAGCTTTTAAGTGCAGAGGAGGGGGGGACCCTAGATCACTCTATAAAGAATACCTGTCATGTGCCTATTGCTGTCAAAAGATGTTTACATGCGTCAGTCCCGCACACACACAAACACTGATCATCCCCACATGTGATAAATGCTGGTGTGGTGTTGGACAGTGCCATCATCCCCCAAATAGGTAGAAAACAGGAAAGCCCTCCTCTTATATTGGGACTTTGGAGTACATAAAGTACCAAAACAAGAATGCCAATGTCACATGAATGGATAACAAGGCATTTATAATACTCTGTACCAGGGGTGGACTGACAACTCATGGGGCCCCCGGGCAATAGGGGATGTCCTTGCCCAAACTCAAAAAAGCCTATGAAAAAGGTACCAGGGGCATCTCATGGGGCCCCCTTTATAATACTCTGTACAATAACGTTTGTTTTACTATTTTACAAGTTTTGTGTAACGTGCCTCAAAAGTCCCAATCTAAGAGGGAGGATTTCCTGTGTTCCCACACATGTGGGGTATCTCTGCGAATGTCAAATCATGGCCAATAATTCGAATATCAGATCTCTGTAAATCTAAAGCGGTAACCTGTAAATGCTTTTAAAACGTCAACATTGGATAGTAAAATTTACATTGTTTGTTGCCATTGCAGGGGCGTGTGACATGTTTGGTATCTATTTACTTGGTGTAATATCATCTTATATATATTTCCCAAAAACATTGGGTTATCTATTGTGTTTTTTTTTCATTAAAATTGAAAAAAGTATATTTTTGCCCAAAAAAATAGAGCTTGAAAAACCGCTGCACAAATACCATGTGACATGAAAAGTGAAAAAGCCACCATTTTATTCTCTAGGACCTCTGCTTTAAAATATATATATATATGATGTCTGGGGGTTCTAAGTAGTTTTTTTTACAAAATATATTGATTTTTATATGTGAACAAAGTGCCCCCCCCAAAAAAAAAATAGTGGCCTGGATGTCAAATGGTGAATCAGTGTAAGTTTTAAAACAACCATTGTCACAGTGCATGAAAAGTATACATTTTTATTCTATCATTGTACCTTTTATAATGACACTAAAAGTATAATTATTGTGCAATGCAGATAATTATTGACAAATTAAATAAAGGTTTTTTTTTTTCATTTTGCACATTTTAAAAATGACCCTTAAAAATAAACAAACAATATGTGTGAAAATAAAAAAAGGTTGAAATTTTATGAAAAATATAACAATGAAGAAAAAAAATATAATAACAGCTAACAGCACTACTCCCTTAGGAGTTGCAGAAGTTTGGGGCCCCCTATAGTCCTGTACAGCAAACCAACATTTCCACAACGACTTTCATCCAGGAGTCAGAAATCAGTCCTTGAGCTTGTTATTCATATTTTATTAAGGGGATATCAACTTGGATGGGGAAAGGGGTATATGGGGGCCCAACTGAACTGATGAACTGAGGACACCTTCCTGGAACTATTTACAAGTCTACTGCAACACAATCTCTGTTGAAGAGCTAGCCAGCACTTCTCCAGACTCCAAATATTCCTCGATCTGACTGCCTGAAAGAAATCCCTGGACATGGGATCCAGTCCTGCCACTTTAAAAGAAAGTCAGCCCCAGCAGGTTGCTAATCTGGTTTCCCAACCAGAGTGCTCCTTACACTGTCTGGCCCAGAGGGGTGTAGATTTACTCACTTCTACCTCTCCGTGCTGCTGTAATTCGTTGGTTGCTACCAGGCCTTCTAGCTGGGCTGCTGCTTCTCTGCTGCTCAGGTGGTCCTCTCTCAGGGGGCCGGTGAGGGTGCAAGTTTTCTTCCTGTCCAGCTCCTCCACCTGTAGGTGAGCCCCTCTCCCATCTGACCCCCTCTCAGGCTCCTACACTTCAACCTACTTCTCCATTTCCAACTTGAACTCTCCTCCAACTCTCCCTTGCTACTGGGCAGGCTCTCTCATATTCAAGGGCTTCTCTGACCCCTTGAAAAGTCTCCTGTTGGGGATTGGTCAGAGTCCCTTGTATATGCAGATCAACCACTCCTTACATCTGCCCACTGCTTCTAGAACTCTCTCCAGAGTCCCAGGGCACAGGGGAAGACTCAGAGAGCTGATTCTGTAGAGCCTTCCAGCCCTGACCAAAATTTGACCCCTCTGACTATTGCATCTGGGCTGCTATCCAAGCCTCTAACTGAAAATTAGATTCTAGTTCCCCTAGCTACCAAGAAGGGTGGTACACAGCTAAAGGGATAATGGAGATAATCAGGGTTATGTGACAAAAAAATGTAAATGTAAATATATCTCAGTGCAATCAATATAATAATAAACAAAAAAGTCCTTCCAATATGAATCTGTGTATCAGTGGTGTGATAATAGCAATCACAGCAAATCGTGTTTAGTCCCACAAAGTGCTGTGGAATCCGGTGTGCAATCCATCACCACTATACACTCACCAGAGGGCTACTTGTTAGGTAGCAAATATAACAAGGGGTCTGTGTTATACACTCTCCAACAACTCTAATGGTCCAGTTTTATCCTGAAAGAAGATGCTCACCAAACAGAGCCTGGAGAACGATATATAGTGCAGTATACATAAAAGCATTCCACATGGAGAACAATCAAACCATTATATATGCCACATACCAAGATGGCCACCGTTCTGAAACATGGAGTCAGAGGTGTGACCTCAGCACGTAGGCTCCACCCAACGCGTTTCATGCACATGCATGTCCTCAGGGGTATGCCCATGAATGTCTGCACGATACTTTTAAATAAAATACTACACTCTATATCATTCTCCTTACAAAATAAGGGGGATTCCTCTCTCAGACAGTCGTCATCAGAACTAGTATAGGATTTCCCCTCCATTTCGGTGGCAACACACAATTTTGGATAATCTCTCATCCTCAGTCCTGGTGAAAATGGTCACCAGAATAAATAGAGGGAAATATATTTGCATCAATACTTCACATCATGTGTGCTGCAAACACAGTTTACATATGCGTGCATGACTTATACATGCGTTTGCTTCTGCGAGCGAGCACAGAGGGATAGATGGCTTTAATTTTTTTTTTCTTATTTTTTTGATTTTCACACTTTTCCTTTAATTTTTTTTTATCACTTTTTATTTTCTATTACAAGGAATGCAAACATCCATTGTAGTAGAATTAAGGGATGGCAGGTCCTCTTTATAGAGAGGTCTGGGATCTATAAGACCCAAAATCTCTCCTCTAACTTTGAAAAAAAAAAATCAAAAGAAAATAAGATCTTTTGCTTAAAATAAATAAATAGTTTATTTCCTCTCTGGACCGGACGTGATGTCACAACGTCGCTCCAATCCTCCAAGAGGTGGTCAGAGATGATCTGGTCTCTGTTCACCTCTATGGCCAGCTGCGCAAACTATTGGATTGTTTCCTGGGCTCTCTGATAAATGCGGGAAGCTGGTGAAACACCGGCGAGCAGAGGGGAAGGGACTTCTGAAAGCGATTCAGACCCAAGCTGGCTACTACAACCAGGGGCGGACTGACAAGTCATGGGGCCCCCGGGCAATAGGGGATCATGGTGCCCCTGTGTCCTTGCCCAAACTCAAAAAAGCCTATGAAAAAGGTACCAGGGGCATCTCATGGGGCCCCCTACTGACCCCGGGCCCTCGGGCAGTGCCCGAGTTTCCAAACGGTCAGTCCACCCCTGACTACAACACTTCCCAGGTATTATATTGTCAGTAACAAGGCTTTTCAATGGCATTTATATTATGCTGAGCAATATTTGAAGCAGCTCACAAATATTTGATTGCATGGTATCCATTGCAGTCCCAATAATATGGCATAACATCCTGAGGCTGGTCCTTAATAAGGCCTCATGATGTTTCTCCTAGATGGGGGGGGGGGGGGGTGCCAACACTCTCCCTCTACATGGCTGTTCTCTGCACATAGAAATGGTGTTTTTTTTTTTATCTTCTCGTCAATCGTTTGCTGATCTGTATATATCTTAGAACACATTCTAATTCTTTGACTGCCCTGTCTTCTTCCTTCCAGCTGTTTTATGACCCGGAACATCGTGGTTATGGGAAGAGTGCTGTTAAGTTATATTACAGAGTTTTGGAACCAGGTGGATTCCATGGCTTTGGCCTTATTCACTGTTGGGCTGATATGCAGGTGAAGGCATCTAGCAATAGCCCTCACTGTGATTTTAGAAAAGCAAACTTCTATTTAAGCAGTGTCTAAAATAAAAAGGATGCACCAACTTTTTAAATGAGTGCCTTTCATATCATATTCCTCATCTGACAGGAGAAGCTTGCTTTGTGTCCATTTTGCAGTGCTTTTCGCAGATCATTTTGCGTTTTTCTACACGCGTTGCTGATGTGTTTTTACCTCGTTTTATTCAGCTCTGTTTTTTTTTGTTAAATTGGATATTTTTTCTTTTCCTGGCCAGAATAAAAAATGCTAAACTTGGCAAAAATGCACTACCATGCATTTCAGCAGACTCTCCATTGAACTCTATTGTAGCAAAAACACTGTTTTTTGCTTTTTAAAAAAAGTCTCTGACCCTTTCCAAAAACACAGGAGCTCAAAAAAGCAGAGATACGAACATGTTTCCATAGAAAACCATGTAGTCTAGGTTCACACCTATGCAGGTTGCATTTGAGGTGTTTCTGAATTGCGTTTTGGCGTTTTTGATGCATTTTGCCTTTTGTTTCTTTTTTTCATTTTTAAAAAAATTTCTTGTTGCTAGGCAGATTTTAAAAGCCAAACGCATCAAAAAACGTGGCAAAAATGCTTTTCTGCAGTGTTCCCATTGAAGTACTATAAAACCAAATATTCAGTAGAGAAGATGGGACTTTCAGGGTGCATGAGCATGAATACCAAACATATTTAAAAAGTTATATACCTTTTAATTTCGTATTTTTTTTAAAAAAACAAAAAAAGGACTAAAAAATACAGAAAACATAAAAACTATTTCTGTACTAAGAGTGGAACTGAGATTCAAACTTGATTATAAAATTTTTTAGTTACTCCAGGGGCAGACTGTTTTTCTACACGCGTTTCTGATGTGTTTTTTACCCTCGTTTTATTTCAGCTCTTTTTTTTTTGTAAATTTTAATTTTTTGGTTTTTGGCCAGAATAAAAATGCAAAAACTTGTAAAAATGCACTACCATGCAATTTCAGCAGGACTCTCCATTGAACTCTATTGTAGCAAAAACACTGTTTTTTTGCTTTTAAAAAAAGTCTCTGACCCTTTCCAAAAACACAGGAGCTCAAAAAAGCAGAGATGCGAACATGTTCCATAGAAAAAACCATGTAGTCTAGGTTCACACCTATGCAGGTTGCGTTTGAGGTGTTTCTGAATTGTGTTTATGCATTTTTGATGCGTTTTGCCTTTTGTTTCTTTTTTTCATTTTTAAACAATTTAGTACTGTCCATGATACTTTTTTTATTTGCACTAAAAATACAATTTTGAGGACAAGCTTTTGAGGTATGTCCCCTTCTTCAAGGTCCAAGCAATACTATACAAATCACAAAAGTTTTAGCAGAAATGTTAGAAGAGATGAAAAAAAAAAGAGGCTAGAGATAAGACACAGCCAAAGCAACAACCCATCATAAGAGGATGGAACTCTGAAAGAAATATTCCAGCAACCCCCAATACTGGCCTTCAGACAACCCCCCAATACTAGCCTTCAGACAACCCCCCAATACTGGCCTTCAGACAACCCCCAATACTGGCCTTCAGACAACCCCCAACAACCCCCCCAATACTAGCCTTCAGACAACTCCCCCCAATACTGGCCTTCAGACAACCCCCAATACTGGCCTTCAGACAACCCCCCAATACTGGCCCTTCAGACAATCCCCCAATACTGGCCTTTCAGATAACCCCCAATACTGGCCTTCAGACAACCCCCCAACCTCAGAAATAAACTAATCAGTAGGAAGCTTCCTTCTGATGATGATGTCACAAATAATGGAAGCAAACCCTGCAATAAGAAACGCTGCAAACTGTGCAGCCAAAATCAATCCATCAAAAAGTGTCAGACACTCAAAGAGATCTTCAATATCTCCGGATCATACAGCTGCACCTCCAGTAATGTTGTGTACCTTATCCAGTGTAGAAAATGTAGCAAAGGATCTTATGTTGGCGAAACAGGACAGAAGTTACAAACAAGGATGAATTTGCACAGACATACCATCAAGGAACATGAAGATGACTTTTGCACACCTGTAGGACACCATTTCACACAACCAGGCCACACAATGGAGAGACCCTCAATGTTTTAGTTCTTAAAGGAAATTTCAAATCCATTCAGGAAAGAAAAACGTTTGCACTAAGAATGATAATTCTATTTGACACAAGAGATAACGGCCTTAACTTGGACCTGGGATTCCTCAATCATTATCCAACAGTATTATGACTATCAGCTCAAGCATGACTCCCTCTGTGTGAGTGTTGTCTTCCCCCCCCTTTGCTTTTGCTGTGTCCTTTATCTCTAGCCTCCTTTTTTTTTTTTCATCTCTTCTAACATTCTGCTACAACTTTGTGATCAGTACTCTGCCTGGACCTTGAAGAAGGGGACACTCCCCGAAAGCTTGTCCTCAAAAATTGTATGTTAGTGCAAATTAAAAAAAGTAACATGGACAGTACTCAGTTGTTTCTGTCACAAATGCACTAATCACGGCTACAATCACTTCAAGTAAAATCGTTTCATTTTGAAAAAAAATTTTCTTGTTGCTAGGCAGATTTTAAAAGCCAAACGCATCAAAAATGTGGCAAAAACGCAATACACGCTTTTCTGCAGCGTTCCCATTGAAGTCTATAAAACCAAATATTCAGTAGGAGAAGATGGGCCTTTAAGGGTGCATGAGCATGAATATCAAACATATTAAAAAGTTTTATTAATTTTTATTTCATATTTTTTATAAAAAAAACAAAAAAAGGAAAACATACAGAAACATAAAAACAATTTCAGTACTAAGAGTGGAACTGAGATTCAAACTTGATTATATAATTGTAGTTACTCCCTACATGTTTCGCCCTCGGGGAGAGAAACGGGCTTCTTCAGAGGAGATTTTTGAACAGATTTCAACCGCCGAGGCAGTCTAAAGGTATTTCAAAAAGAAAATTATACAATTACCAAACAACTTTAATATATCCAATACAAAGAATTTTAATCAAATATAGTTATGGGACTCAATGGCTCACCTTGGATGTGAAAGCTCACAGAGCTAAGAGGAAATAACCCTAACAAAGATCTTAATTGGCCTACACGTCCAAAACAGTTTGTAGAGGATATAATGGGCATCAAATATCATCTAGGCATAATAGGATAGACATAAAAAAAGAAGTTAATTAAATTTAAACAGAAGATATGAGGAAGAGATCATAATTCATTAGGTTGAAGGTTGGCTTTTGGGGCAACTTTTTACCTGTTAAATGGTTTAGAAGGATATATAGGTATAACCTAACATTAGGTTGAGGTTGATTTTTGGGCAATATTACCTGGTAAATGTTTGAGAAGGATATATAGGTATAAACTTGATCTATACGTCCACAAGCATCTAATTGAATCAAAAACGCAAACGTTTTTGTTTCAAAGAAGTCCCTGACCCTTTTCCAAAAAATGGGTGAAAACGTTGGAGATGTGAACCTGTCCCATAGGAAATCATGTTTAAATGGACTGTACTGCATTTCTGCAAAATGCTGCAGAAAACGCTTAGGTGTGAACTTAGGGAAAAATAGACTGTAGTGCGTTTCTGCAAAAAGTACTAAAAAAACGCATTGGTGTGAACGGAGCCTTAGAAAAATGGAATGGACTGCCATGAAAAAAGTTAATTACCGGATGTCATTCTTCATGAATCTGATTTGTTGAAACAGGTGCCAGCCAATCTTTTACCTTATTTTTTTTTCTTCACAATAAATCCTGATTGGATGGTTTGAACTGAAAGCTTCATGCTTTTATTCAGTTCTCAAAAAAAAACACTCCAAATGAAACCTGGATTGCTTGCTATAAGCAAGGCGGGAACATGTTGATTTTTATGTTTCATATAAATGAAGTCCTGGGAGCACAGCCGTAAATTTGATCAAATAAAGATGGTACAAATATTTCAGACTTCTAATGGCCCTCTCTTTGTGTCTAGATTGGTTCGGACAGACACAGTCTATCTGGGTCGGGTGTTCCTGTCTCTAGACTACATGATATTCTGCATCCGCCTCATGTACATGTTCACTGTCAGCAGAGTTCTGGGTCCTAAAGATCATCATCCTCCGCAGAATGGTAAGACCGTGATCTAGAACAGGTTGTAAACAGCTAACTATTTTTTTCTGAAGGATAATTTATCATCCTACACGTTACCCCAGGTTCACATATATGCGGCCATGTGGGTCGCGTTTTTGCGTGGGCACAAGAGCCCATTCTTTTGAATGGACTCCCGTGCCCAGGACACGCAGAGAAGAAGTCCCTGAACTTCTTCCGAAAACGCAGCCCACACAGGAACCTCGGTTCCCAGTACGATTGTGTTTTCCAAGTGCGGGCGGCGTGCCATTATTATTATTATTATACAGTATTTACAAAGCGCCAATAGTTCACTCAGCGCTGTACATTACAAAGGGGGACAGAACATGTGACAGAACAATAACAATACAATGCAAAACATGAGGGGATCGAGGGCCCTGCTCTTTCGAGCTTACAATCTAGGAGGGAGGGATGGTGGCACAGGAGGAGGATAGCTGGGGGGGATGGAGTGGTAGGAAGAGTGGAGGAGGTCAGCAAGTTAGCAGGGGGTGGGGTAGGCTTCCCTGAAGAGATGGGTTTTCAGGGTGCGACTAAAGGAGAGGAGAGTAGGTGATAATCTGATGGTTTGGGCCAGGGAGTTCCAGAGGATGGGGTGACACCCTGGAAAAGTCCTGGAGGCGGGTATGGGAGGAGGAACTAATGGAACTAATGGCACCTGCCTGCGGGTCTGCATTTCTCTGTGCGGGTGGTGTTGCACGGATTTTCCTATGTATTCGCAGCGGCACCACCCGCACATATGTGAACCTAGCCTTATGGTATATGTTAAAATCTTTGTGAACACCTGACCATTACACCTATATGAGCTTGTTGGACAGCCTGTTCCAAAGTCATGAGCATTAAATTGGGTTCCTCCTCATTCCTCTTTGCAGTTATAACAGCCTCCACTCTTTTGGAAGGCTTTTCAAAAGATTTGAGTTGTGTTATCCAAACAATATTTTGTGAGGTCAGGTACTGATGTTTGGGTCAGACTACCTTGCTCCCAGTCAGTATTCCAGCCTACCCCAAAATGTGTTCTGTAGGGCTGAAGTCAGAGTTTTATTCAGACCTCTTTAATTCTTCCCCATCACACTCATCAAGTCATGGGGATAATTTACTAAAATACTGGAGAGTGGAAAATCTGTTGCAGCTGTCCATGGTAGCCAATCAATTTTCTAACTCTCCTAGATTGTAAGCTCGAAAGAGCAGGGCCCTCGAACCCCCTCGTGTATTGTATTGTTTCGTATTCTGTCCCCCCACTATAATGTACATCGCTGAAAAACCTTTTGGCGCTATATAAATACTGTATAATAAATAATAATAACTTTCAGCTTGTTCAATTAAGCTTTGACCAAAAAAAACAAAAACAAAACTGGGGAATCTGATTGGTTTCTCTGCAGAGCTGCACCAAAATTTTGAACGCTCCATTTTTAGTAAATCAACCCCCATGTCTTTTTATAAAGCTGGCTATGTGCACAGGGGTACAGTCAGTGGCGTCCCGAGGCAGGTGCAAGGGGGTGCGCGCCGCACAGGGTGACACCTACTACACGGGGTGACACCTGACCACACGGGGTGACACCATTTTACTTTCCATCATGACTGTAAACCCCAGGGGTGTCCCTAGGTTTGGTGTCACCCCGGTGCGATAAAACTTGGTGACACCCCCTCCGATGATCCCCGCAGAATGTGGATCGAATCTGCGAATCCATCCTGCGTGGATCATCAGCTTTCTTTACAACTTACCTTTTCGTGGAGCGGGTTCGGGTGTCACCCGACCGTAAAAGGTTGCATGCCGCGATTCCCCGCAGGATGGTTCGGATCTGCGGATTTGGAGCATAATGGATCGGAATCCAATCCATTATGCTCAATCCGCAGATTCGATCCATTCTACGGGGATCGTCGGAAGGGGTGTCACCAAGTGTTATTGCAACGGGTGACACCAACCCTAGGGACGGCCCCTGGGTACAGTCATGATGGAAAGTAATGGAACGTCTCCAAACTGCTGCAACAACATTGGAAGTGCAGCATTGTATCTAAAAAAAGTGTGTATGTTGTATCATTAACAGCATCTTTCACTGGAAATCCATAAACTCAGTGATTCAGAGGTAATTATGGTTATGTAGTAGGTATGATGGTCAGGAGTTCACAAATCTTTGGCCATACAGTATATTAAACAATCACTTAATGTAATACAATCGAGTACTATAAGTCAAAAATAAACATCAGCTATCATTTTAAGATCTTTAATCTTTCACCTCATCCAGGTTAAAGACATCTTCTTCTTCCTCTTCCTCCTGGCTATTTGGATTGTTTCGGTATGGCGTGGCAAAGCAGGCGATTCTTACTACCAATGAAGAAAGGTTGGGCTGGATTTTACGGAATGTGATCTATGATCCCTACCTCACCCTCTTTGGTGAAATCCCATCTGATATAGACAGTAAGTTAGCTGGTGCTTCTTGTGGTGAGTTGATGGCAAGATGATTGAAGGTCTATATGATGGTGGTATATATAACCACCTTGTTTTTCAGGTTTAAATTTTGATCCAACACAATGTTCAGAAAATGGTACCGACCCAACCATGCCTAAATGTGTTGTCAATGATGGAAACCAATGCTCTCTTCCCAGAGTGGCTGACCATAATTCTCATGTGCCTATATCTCCTCATGGCCAATGTCCTTCTGCTCAATCTACTTATTGCCATATTCAGGTAAGAAGAGGAATGACAGCTCACTTATAACAATTGCTGAAGTACAACTGTATAGCGCAGCCACATTCTGCAGGTGGAACCACCACTTGCCCGCCGCCCTACTGTGTACTGCTACAGGGTGTCAGGACTGCACAAAAACCACGTATGTATACGTGATTTTGCATATTACATGAAGATAAAAAATCTTCACCCTTTAGAACCACTTTAAGAACTTTATTTTTTTATTAACATTTATGGTACTGTGGCATTGTTGAAGACTTTATTTTGTATTCTATTTTTCTGTACATTTCTTGCAGCACATTTTTATAAAATCTGTCAAAAATCATTAGGCCTTATTTCTAAATGCTATAAATGATCCATTCTTAACCAGGGTTCCTCCAGAGGTTGCTGGGGGTTCCTTGAACTGTAGCTGATTGACCTCCCATCTGCTGGTGCCTGCATGATTCTGAGGCCAAAGCCACTTGGCAGATAATTTAGCTGGAATTTTCATCACTGCAGGGGGTCCAATTTTTCCACTGACCATCAATGTATAAAAGGCATTTTTTCCCACAAACAACAACAATGAATTTATTTTAGTAGAGCTTCCCCAAGACCTGGAAATAATTTCACAGGTTCTTTTGGGTTAAAAATATTGAGAAAGGCTGCTCACAATAATATTTAGAGGAATCCCTGCTCTTTGAACAAGTGCTACTATTATTGTAAATCTCTTGCATATCCCCGTGTGGTATGGCAGCATGTATTAGAGAAGTGTCTTAAAGTCAGAATTGGCACACCACGGCATACTGTAAATGCAGCATGTTTCTGTTAAAACACATGGTGCAGATACTGATTGTGTAGGGGTTAGTCGACGTCTGTAACCATCACTTTCAGTCTATTGGCACTTAAATCATAGTCCCATGGGTCGGAACAGAGTGAGTGAGGTTGAGAGTGCCATCATCACATACTGGTGACAGCAGCAGGTTAGTGACTATGGGTGCACATATCCGTGGCAGTGTGCTGAGATCTCAAAACTGACTTCCATCACATCATCCACTGTGCAAAAGATGGAAAAAATTGAGGGCCTCATACTCTACCTAAAAAGTACCACTTTTTTTTTGTTTTCCACAAAAAGTCACTAAAAAATATCTAAGCCTGAACACTGCACTCTGTACACAGTGCACCCCTAAACTCTGCACTCTGTACACAGTGCACCCCTAAACTCTGCACTCTGTACACAGCGCACCCCTAAACTCTGCACTCTGTACACAGCGCACCCCTAAACTCTGCACTCTGTATACAGCACACCCCCTAAACTCTGTACACAGTGCACCCCTAAACTCTGCACTCTGTACACAGCGCACCCTAAACTCTGCACTCTGTACACAGTGCACCCCTAAACTCTGCACTCTGTACACAGTGCACCCCTAAACTCTGCACTCTGTACACAGGTCACTTCTGAAACTCTGTATACTCTGTACACAGCGCACTCCTGAACACTGCACTTTGTACACAGCGCACTCCTGAACTCTGAACTCTGTACACAGCATCACTCCTGAACTCTGCACTCTGTACACAGCGCACTCCTGACCTCTGCACTCTGTACACAGCGCACTCCTGACCTCTGCACTCTGTACACAGCACTCCTGACCTCTGCACTCTGTACACAGCGCACTCCTGACCTCTGCACTCTGTACACAGCACACTCCTGACCTCTGCACTCTGTACACAGCACACTCCTAAACTCTGCACTCTGTACACAGCGCACTCCTGAACTCTGCACTCTGTGCACAGCACACTCCTAAACTCTGCACTCTGTACACAGCACACTCCTGAACTTCTGCACTCTGTACACAGCACACTCCTGAACTCTGCACTCTGTACACAGCACACTCCTGAACTCTGCACTCTGTACACAGCACACTCCTGAACTCTGCACTCTGTACAACAAGCACACTCCTTTACACAGCACATTCCCTGAACTCTGCACTCTGTACACAGGTCACTTCTGAACTCTGTACTCTGTACACAGCGCACTCCTGAACTCTGCACTTTGTACACAGCGCACTCCTGACTCTGAACTCTGTACACAGCGCACTCCTGACCTCTGCACTCTGTACACAGCGCACTCCTGACTCTGCACTCTGTACACAGCGCACTCCTGACCTCTGCACTCTGTACACAGCGCACTCCTGACCTCTGCACTCTGTACACAGCACACTCCTGACTCTGCACTCTGTACACAGCTCACTCCTGAACTCTGCACTCTGTACACAGCTCACTCCCTGAACTCTGCACTCTGTACACAGCTCACTCCTGAACTCTGCACTCTGTACACAGCACACTCCTGAACTCTGCACTGTGTACACAGCGCACTCCTGAACTCTGCACTCTGTACACAGCTCACTCCTGAAACTCTGCAATCTGTACACAGCTCACTCCTGAACTCTGCACTCTGTACACAGCACACTCCTGAACTCTGCACTCTGTACACAGCCACTCCTCCTGAACTCTGCACTCCTGTACACACAGCACACTCCTGAAACTCTGCACTGTGTACACAACGCACTCCTGAACTCTCCACTGTTGTACACAACTCACTCCTGAACTCTGCACTCTGTACACAGCACACTCCTGAACTCTGCACTCTGTACACCCCAGCACACTCCTGAACTCTGCACTGTTTACACAGCGCACTCCTGAACTCTGCACTCTGTACACAGCGCACTCCTGAACTCTGCACTCTGTACACAGCGCCACTCCTGAACTCCTGTACATATAGAGTAATCTTAAAATCTAAATGCAAAATATATAAGTGAGTGCTTTTCAATTCTGTGTATAAGCATCTAACATAAGGTTAACCTCTAAAACCCTTAGACATAAAAATATATAAGATGCAGCGCTTACATATACTAAAAGTGTAAACGTGACAGCGCAAATTGATGCGCAAAAATATGTGACAATAGTATAGTGTCTTCCCCATACCTCCAAGACAAAAAATATATATTATTGACAGTGACAGTATTTATGTGACACAATATATCACATAAATGCCCAATGATCCATGATTCAATGCAAATAGATTGCAAGTGCGTCAATGATTCAGATAGGAAGATATCAATCTATTTTATTCAGCTTCCATCACATAATCAGGTGCTTGTGACTTCCGTGAAAAGCAATATAGGGTGTGCTTGCACTCTACACCAGACGTAAAATTATGAATACGCATGTAGTATATGGGTACTTGTGGTCATCTGGAGCCCGGTGGAAATGTGGTATTCAAACGACACTCGTTATATCCAGGATATTCTCCAGACCTCTTAATGGACCCTCTTAGTTAGTAGGAACCGCTCACAGGTGAAGCTTGGTTAGCGCCCTTTCACAGCATTCCTCTGCTTCTCTAGCCCACAGGCTTGGGCCCTGCCTGCTCTGTCAGACTATTACTGTGCCACCCATGCACACTTGTGGCTGCTCCCTTGCACCCACATGGACTCCTCGGGAGGGTGGAGCCCTAAGGAGGAGTCCATGTGGGTGCAAGGGTGCAGCCACAAGTGTGCATGGTGGCAATGGTATAGTCTATCTGAATCATTGACGCACTTGCAATCTATTGCATTGACTCATGTCATTGGAATTTATGTGATATATTGTGTCTAATACTGTCCTGTCAATATATATATTTTTTTGTCTTCATTAAGACACCACTATTGTCACACATTAGCGCATCAATTTGCGCTTTCTGTCAATCTTAAAATCTGCACTCTGTACGTAGCAAAATCCAAAACTCTGCACTCTATACAAAATACATTCCTGAACCCTGCACTTTGTACATAGAGAACCCTAGATACAACCGGCCCTTTGTGGGCAAAACCATACTGCTGATGCAGCCAGCAATGAAATTTAGAGTATGACACTCCTGCTTTAAAGAAATAAATGCAAGCTCAAAAGCCATGATCTTCTTCATAACTCAGAGTTGCATTCTTAAATAATTCAGCATGTTTCAGTAGCTGAATCTGTGAGAATATTATAAAAAGGATCTATTTTAAAATGCCGATAGCATTGGAGGGTAACCACATTTTCTTTTTCCTGTCTGACAGTTACACATTCGCAGATGTCGAAAAAAACACGGATCAGGTCTGGAAATTCCACCGTTTTGGTCTCATTAAGGAATATAATGAGAGTCCCGCTGCTCCTCCTCCATTCATCCTACTCACTCACTTATATATTCTCCTGAAACACGGCATTTGTAGATATCAAGCCAGGGGCCACAAAGTTCTAAGTAAGTGTGCTAATAAAGCTAAACCCAGACCTAACTACGGAGGCCTCTGCCATTGTGCTTCTTCCATGTGGGAGCTGGTTTTGGGATGACCAGATGTTTGGGATAAACCAAACATCAAATTTGGGATAAGAAGCTAAAGTTGCATGATGGGGCATAAATGCTATTCTGGACTCCTGAAGCTTTCAGTCATCAATGTTCACATTATCCAAATTTTTCTCCCAACACATGTTAAAAAAATGTATGCTCCTTCTTGATTGTACAGAACACATGGACATCCATACACTTTAGACATTATTGTAATAAAAGCTTTGGATAACGACACTGATGATGCCACTTTCTACCTCCTGGCAGGGTGGGAGCTGGATGAAGAACAAGAAGTCTCGTTGCTCTCCTGGGAATCCTTCATGAAGGACAACTACCAACAGATGAAAGAAACAACAAGAAGCTGAAAGGTAAGATATGTCAATCTCTGCTGCCCTGCTTGCTGCAACATTCATGGGTAACTACAGAGAGTGCTTTCATTTAAGACACTGGTGGGCCCAGGGCTGACTTATTCCCCTGTCGATGTTAACATATTAGCTGCCAGGACATGTGCTGTGAGTTGTTTTATGGACTTTTAATGAAGTATCCCCCTTCCCTATGTACATTTTTGCTAACTGTACAGTAAGTCAGCATTTTTCAACCATGGTGCCTTAAGGTTTCTTCAGGGGTGTCTTGGCCAAATGTGTAAGAACTGCTCAAACCTTGTATACTAGCCAGCAGGTGGCCTGCCTTTTATTTACACAAAGCCACAGGTTTTCATTATTCACCATTATGACCTTCTAGCCACCAGCGTCCTGACAACCAATGACATCATCATTTGTTAAGGAGGATGTTGTTTGCCTACACACCATCCTTGTTTCTCCCTCCCCTGCCCCTCTCCATCAGTGCTGCAGTCACATTTAGCTCAGTGATGGAGAAAAACTGAGGGAGAAGAGAAACACTGAAATACAGTAATACCCTCGGTTTAAGAATTTAATTCGTTCTGCAGGACTTTTCTTATAGCGAAAAATTCTTAAACCGAAACACTGTTTCCCATAGCAATGCATTGAAAACCAATGAATCTGTCCCGGAGATCAGAAAAAAGTAAACACTAATAAATACCGCATGAGTTATTTTATCAAGTCATGCGGTATTTTAGTAGTGACAACCATGTGTTAATATTTCACTGTCAGTGGGGTTCCCCACTGACAGCTGAATGTAAAAGAATTGCCGGCAATTTAAAAAAAATAATTTAAAAAACTGCGTGGGGTCCCCCTTCCCATCCATACCAAGCCCTTCATGTCTGGTATGGATTTTGAGGGGAACTCCCACGCCAAAATTTAAAACAAAATGGCGTGGGGGTCCTCCCCAAAATCTATACCAGACCCTTTTCATAGCATGCAGCCTGGCAGGTCAGGAAAGGGGGGGGCAAACAATGTTTCTTTTTAGTTTCTTAAAAGAAACAACATTTCCGTTAACTTTGGGGAAAGTGACAGATAATTCTGTGAGCTATAGTGAAGAAAAAAAAAAGAGCCAGCAATTGCATTTAAAAATCAGCAATGACATACACATCGTATTGCAAAAAAAATTCAAACAAAATTTGTAAACCGAGGCATTATTTTCAGTGGATTTTCATTTGTAAAACGGTGATTGTAGCCGTATTAGTGCATTTGCGACAGAAACAGACAGTACTCAATTGTTTCATTTGTAAACCGAAAATTACTTTAACCGAGGTGTTCTTAAACCGAGGTATCACTGTACTAGTCAGTACCAGTGTGCAAAAGTGTATTTGTAAGAATAAATCACCTCAAATGTAGGGTGTTCTACATGTGTGGATGTTGCTGCGTTACACAGAACTATTAGAATAGTTTTTTACATTTTAGAATAGGGTGCCTCAGGACTGTCCATAATTTTAAAGGGTGCCTCGGGGCTGTCCACAATTTTAAAGGGTGCCTTGACTGAAAAAAAAGGTTGAGAAACACTACAGTAAGTTATTACCATTTACTATTCTGGCCAGGCATGCTCTTGGCAGAGTATGGTCTGGGTTTACAGTTGCAAAAAAAGTATGTGAACCCCTTGGGATTACGTGGAGTTTTGCATGAATTGGGCATAAAATGTGCTCTGTACGTCATCTAAGTCACAACAATAGAAGAACACAGTCTGCTGAACATAATACTACACAAACATTAGATGTTGCCATGGTTTAATTGCACATAACATGTAAACATTCACAGTGCAGGGAGGAAAAAGTATGTGAGGCCCTAGCTTAATGACTTCTCCCAGAGCTAATTGGAGCCAGGAGTGAGCCAACCTTGACTCCAATCAGTGTGATGATAGTGGATGTGTTGCTGACAGCTGTCCTGCCCTTAAAAAACACACACCTGTTTTGGGTTTACTGGTTTCAAGAAGCACTGTCTGATGTGAACCATGCCTCGCAGAAAAGAGCTCTCAGAAGACCTACGATCAAGAATTGTTGACTTGCAAGAAGCTGGAAAGGGTTACAAAAGTATCTCCAAAAGCCTTGATGTTCATGTGTCCACAGTAAGACAGACTGTCTACAAATGGAGAAAGTTTAGCACTGTTGCTACTCTCCCTAGGCGCGGTCGTCCTGTAAAAATGACTGCAAGAGCACAGCGCAGAATGCTGCATGAGGTAAAGAAGAATCCCAGAGTGTCAGATAAAGACCTACAGAAATCTCTGGCACATGCTAACATTTTTGTTGACACATCTACAATAAGGAAAACATTAAACAAGAATGGAGTACATGGGAGGACACCACGGAGGAAGCCATTGCTGTCCAAAAAGAACATTGCAGCACGTTTGAAGTTTGCAAACGAGCACCTGGATGTTCCACAGCACTACTGGCAAAATATACTGCGGACAGATGAAACCAAGATTGAGTTGTTTGGGAAGAACACACAACACTATGTGTGGAGAAAAAAAGGCACAGCACACCAACATCAAAACCTCATCCCCACTGTAAAACATGGCGGAGGGAGCATCATGGTTTGGGGCTGCTTTGCTGCCTCAGGGCCTGGACGGATTGTTGTCATTGATGGGAAAATTAATTCCAGAGTTTATCAAGACATTTTGCAGGAAAACGTACAACCATCTGTCCGCCAACTGAAGCCCTGCATAGGATGGGTGATGCAACAGGACAATGACCCAAAGCATACAAGTAATTCAACAAAACAATGGCTTCAACAGCACTGAATATGCCTTCTGGAGTGGCCCAGTCAGAGTCCTAACCTCAACCCGATTGAAATGCTGTGGCATGACCTTAAGAGAGCGATTCACACCAGACATCCCAAGAATATTGCTACACTGAAACAGTTTTGTGAAGAGGAGTGGTCCAAAATTACTCCAGACCGTTGTGCAGGTCTGATCTGCAACTACAGGAAACGTTTGGTTGAGGTTATTGCTGCCAAAGGAGGGTCAACCGGTTATTAAGTCCAAAGGTTCACATACTTTTTCCTCCCTGCACTGTGAATGTTTACATGTTATGTGCAATTAAACCATGGCAACATCTAATGTTTGTGTAGTATTATGTTCAGCAGACTGTGTTCTTCTATTGTTGTGACTTAGATGACATTCAGAGCACATTTTATGCCCAATTCATGCAAAACTCCACGTAATCCCAAGGTGTTCACATACTTTTTCTTGCAACTGTAGCTATAGTCTTTTCATATGTAAAATGTCATGGAAAAGTACAGGGATGAGGGAGGCTGGCTAATATGCAGGGTAACGTGTCTGTCTCACGTCTTTGGGAACGTGAGACAGACACAGCATGCTAGTCAGTTGTCACAAGAACCCCACCTTCCCCAGTCTGAAGACAGGTAACAACCATAAAACAGCATGCACATTCTGATAGCCCACAGCAGAAAGTTACTAGCAACTAGCCAGCCAGAGACAGGACCTTGTTTGGTGGAGGGGAAATGAAGGTAGACCTTTTTAGAGGAGGCAAAAGCAAACATCAAAGCTCACAATACCTCTGGCCACCACAGGAGGGGACTTCCAAATCCTGCTGGCTGACCACACATGGGCAAATATATATTACTGTGCAAATGTTTTAGGCAGGTGCTCAAAAAAAACGCTATAAATTAAGAATGCTTTTAGAAATAGAAGTATTAGTAGTTTATGATTATCAATTAACAAAATGGAAAGTACACGAACAGAAGAGAAATTCAAATCAAATCAATATTTGGTGTGACCACCTTTGCCTTCAAACCAGCATCAATTCTTCTAGGTACACTTGCACACAGACTTTGAAGGAACTTGGCAGGTAGGTTGTTCCAAACATCTTGGAAAACTAAGCACAGACCTTTTATGGATGTAGGCTGCCTCATATCCTTCTGTCTCTTCATATAATCCCAGACAGACTCCATTATGTTGAAATCAGAGCTCTGTGGGGGACAAGCCATCACGTCCAGGTCTGCCTATTCTTTACACTGAAGATAGTTTTTAATTACATTGGCTATATGTTTGGGGTCATTGTCCTGCTGCAGAATATATTTGTGGCCAATCACACGCCCCCTGATGGTATGGCATGATGGATACGTATTTGCCTCTATTTCTCAGCATTGAGGACACCATTGATCCTGACCAAATCTCCAACTCCATTTGCAGAAATGCAGCCCCAAACTTGCCAGGAACCTCCACCATGCTTCACTGTTGTTTGCAGACACCTATTATTGTATTGCTCTGCAACCCTTTGGTGAACAAACTGCCTCCTGTTACAGCCAAATATTTGAAAGATTGACTCATCTGTCCAGAGCACCTGCTGATGTTTTTTCTGCACCCCAAATCCTATGTTTTCATGCATAGTTTACTTATCCTTGTTTTCACATTGGAGATATGGCTTTTTGGCCGCAATTCTTTAGTGAAGACCACTTCTGGTCAGTTGAACAATAAATGGGTGCACCTGGTTCCCACTGGTTTCCACCAGTTCTGTGCTGTTGCCACTGTTGGACATCTTCTGATATTGAAGGAAAGTAAGCATGATTTGTCTTTCATCTGTTGCATTAAGTTTCTTTGGCCAACCACTACGTCTACAGTCCTTATCATTGCCTGTATCTTTGTGCTTCTTCAAAATAACTTCAACAGCACGTCTTCAAACCCAAGTCTGCTTTGACATCTTTGCCTGGGAGAGACCTTGCTGATGCAGTATATCTACCTTGTTGACGCAGTACAGGTGAAACTCGAAAAATTAGAATATCGTGCAAAAGTTCATTTCAGTAATGTAACTTAAAAGCGGAAACTAATATATGAGATAGACTCATTACATGCAAAGCAAGATAGTTCAAGCCGTGACTTGTCATCATTGTGATGATTATGACTTACAGCTCATGAAAACCCCAAATCCACAATCTCAGAAAATGAGAATATTGTGAAAAGGTGGAATATTCTCGGCTCAAAGTGTCCCACTCTAATCAGATAATTAAGCCATAACACCTGCAAAGGGTTCCTGAGCCTTTAAATGGTCTCTCAGTCTGGTTCAGTATGAATCACAATCATGGGAAAGACTGCTGACCTGACAGTTGTGCAGAAAAGCATCATTGACACCCTCCATAAGGAGGGAAAGCCTCAAAAGGTAATTGCAAAAGAAGTTGGATGTTCCCAAAGTATCAAAGCACATTAATAGAAAGTTATGTGGAAAGGAAAAGTGTGTGGAAGAGTAAGGTGCACAAGCAGCAGGGATGACCGCAGCCTGGATAGGATTGTCAGAATAAGGCCATTCAAAAGTGTTGGGGACTTTCACAAGGAGTGGACTGAGGCTGGAGTCAGTGCATCAAGAGCCACCACACACAGACGGATCCTGGACATGGGCTTCAAATGTTGTATTCCTCTTGTCAAGCCGCTCCTGAACAACAAACAACTTCAGAAGCGTCTTACCTGGGCTAAAGAAAAACAGACCTGGTCTGTTGCTCAGTGGTCCAAAGTCCTCTTTTCTGATGAGAGCAACATTTGCATCTCATTTGGAAATTGGAGGAAGAATGGAGAGGCCCAAGGACCCCGAGTATGGAGGAAGAATGGAGAGACCCAAGGACCTAGAGTATGGAGGAAGAATGGAGAGGCCCAAGGACCCCGAGTATGGAGGAAGAATGGAGAGGCACACACTGCAAGATGCTTGAAGTCCAGTGTGAAGTTTCCACAGTCTGTGTTGATTTGGGGAGCCATGTCATCTGCTGGTGTTGGTCCACTGTGCTTCATTAAGTCCAGGGTCAACGCAGCCGTCTCCAGGAGATTTTGGAGCACTTCATGCCTCCTTCCGCAGAGGAGCTTTATGGGGATGCTGACTTCATTTTCCAGCAGGACTTGGCACCTGCCCACACTGCCAAAAACACCAAAACCTGGTTCAATGACCGTGGGATTACTGTGCTTGATTGGCCAGCAAACTCGCCTGACCTGAACCCCATAGAGAATCTATGGGGCATTGCCAAGAGAAAGATGAGAGACATGAGAGACCGAACACAATGCAGAGAAGCTGAAGGCCGCTATTGAAGCATCCTGGTCTTCCATAACACCTCAGCAGTGCCACAGGCTGATAGCTTCCATGTTACGCCGCATTGAGGCAGTAATTGCTGCAAAAGGGGCCCAAACCAAGTACTGAGTACATATACATGCTTCTACTTTTCAGAGGTCCGATATTGTTCTATGTACAATCCTTGTTTTATTGATTGCATGGAATATTCTCATTTTCTGAGATTGTGGATTTGGGGTTTTCATGAGCTGTAAGCCATAATCATCACAATGATGACAAATCACGGCTTGAACTATTTTGCTTTGCATGTAATGAGTCTATCTCATATATTAGTTTCACCTTTTAAGTTGCATGCACTGAAATGAATGAACTTTTACACGATATTCTAATTTTTCGAGTTTCACCTGTATCTACCTTGTTGATGTGCAGTATATCTACCTTGTTGTGCTCAGTCTTGCCATGGTGTGTGACCTGTGACTACTGATGGGCTGATCACCCCTCTGTTCGATTCACGGTCTCGCACATTCAAACCTACAGAATGTTTGAATGTGAACTTCGAAACGCAAACAAATTACTGAGCGGCATCTTACTACATATAAGGTATGAGGTGATAAGATACCGCTCAGTTACTAAAATACCGCATGAGATATTATTAAGTCATTTTAGTAGTGAAACATTCATTATTGTTTCAGCTGTCAGTGGGGTTCCCCGCTGACAGCTGAAAGTAAAAAGAATTGTCGGCATTGCCTGACAATTTATATTTTAAAAAAAAAACAAAAAAAAACAACGTGGCCCTTTGGGTCTGGTATGGATTTTGAGGGGAACCCCTCACGCCAAAATTTTAACAAAGAAATAGCGTGGGGGTCCCCCCCAAAATCCATACCAGACACTTATCCGAGAATGCAGCCCAGCAGGTCAACAAGGGGGGGGACGAGCGAGCGCCCCCCTCCTTAACCGTACCAGGCAACACGCCCTCGCCATGGGGGGCTGCTTTTGGGGCAGGGGGTGCTCCTCCTCCCTAAAGCACCTTGTCTCTATGTTGATGGATACAAGGGCCTCTTCTCCACACAACCCTGGGCTGTGGTTGTGGGGGTCTGCGGGCGGGGAGCTTATTGGCATCTGGAAGCCAATGAGTATGCAGTACTACCTATTCACATGCTTGCACGCAAAGGCAAAAGCACGTGTCGGCCCAACACGCACACAAACTGTGATCGTCCCACACATGTGAGTTATCACCACAAAGGTCAGGCCATGGGCACTAATTCTAGTAATATACCTCCTCTGTAAATCTAAAGTGGTAACCTGTAAAGGCTTTTAAAGCGTTGCCTATGGATAGTAAAATGTACATCGTTTATTGCCGTTGCACAGGCGTGCATAGTTTTAAAGAGTGACATGCTTGGTATCTATCTACTCAGTGTAACATCATCTTTTATATATTTAAAAAAATAGGTTACGTTTTGTGTTTTTTTTTTTTGCATTAAAATTCAAAAAAAAAGGTATTTTTCCAAAAAATAGTATTTAAAAAACTACTGCGCAAATACCGTGTGACATAAAAAAATTGCAAAACCCACCAATTTATTATCTAGAGCCTCTGCTTTCAAAAAATATATAATGTTTGGAAGTTCTACGTAATTTTCTAGCAAAAAAACCCTGATTGTTATACAAAATTCCTGAAAAAGCCTGGTCCTTAGGTGGATAACCTGTTTCCCTGCTGATTCTGCAGCCAATGGTCTGATGAGAGGGACAGTTGTCCATCATTATTCCACACAAGACTGTCAGAAGCTACTTGACATCTAGACAGGGGCAGACTGGCAACTCATGGGGCCCCTGGGTAATAGGGGATCATGGGGCCCCTGTGTCCTCACCCACACTCAAACCACACCCAAAAACCCTATGAAAGGTACCAGGGGCATCTCATGGGGCCCCTACTGACCCTGGGCCCTCGGCAGTGCCGGAATGGTCAGTCCGCCCCTGCATCTAGGTGTTAATTACTTCGATCTCCAGGCTCAGGAGCAGTTTATTGAGATTCTAATATTTGATTATTGTCTGCTACCCTGACTGCTGAACTAAGAAAAGTGCTGTGTCTGTAATATCATACCGCTTTTACATTTATGTTATATAATGTATTCCTGACGTGCCATATTTGTGTCTGGTGCAGTGTGTCTCCGCCATGCTGTGTCTGCTGGAGAAAAAGCTGACTGTTCTGGAAGAGCAGGTATATTTCTTAACCACTTCAATACCGAGTACTTTCAGCCCCTTCCTGCCCACAAACAATTTTCAGCTTTCAGCACTGTCGCACTTTGAATGACAATTGCGCGGCCATGCAACACTGTACACAAACTACATTTTTTACCTTTTTTTCACACAGAAAAGTTCACCATGATAGAAGCAGCTAATAAGTTATATCAAATTAGACATGAAAGCATCCACAGTTCCAAAGTTTGCTCACAATTGCGACAATTGGGTGACCAAGATCGCATGGATTGCTCTTAGCAAAAGGAAGCTGCCCCCCTTCACATCACCCCCACAATAGTGTCCTCTGTCCCCCTTCACATCACTCCCCACAGTAGTGTCCTCTGTCCCCCTTCACAATATCTCCCACAGCAAAGTCCTCTGTCCCCCTTCACAATATCTCCCACAGCAAAGTCCTCTGTCCCCCTTCACAATATCTCCCACAGCAAAGTCCTCTGTCCACCTTCATATCTCCCCCCACAGTAATGTCCTCTGTCCACCTTCACAATATCTCCCACAGTAATGTCCCCTCTCCACCTTCACATCACTCTCCCACAGTAATGTCTCCTCTGCACCTTCACATCACCTCCCACAGTAAAAGTAATGTCCCCTGTCCACCTTCACATCACCCCCCACCCACAGTAATGTCCCCTGTCCACCTTCACATCACCCCCCCCACAGTAATGTCCCCTGTCCACCTTCACATCATCCCCCCACAGTAATGTCCCTCTGTCCACCTTCACATCACCCCCCCACAGTAATGTCCTCTGTCCAGGGGCCTGACCATCATGGAAACCCCCCCAAGGGTCGGTGTCAATCACAGGGGGCCCCCACATGCCCCCTGGTACCTTTTTCATAGGCAGTTTGGGCAAGGACACCCCCCACAGTAATGTCCCCTATTCCCCATCACATCACCCCCCACAGTAATCCTCTGTTCACCTTCACATCACCCCCCACAGTAATGTCCCCTGTCCACCTTCACCTTCACATCACCCCCCACAGTAATGTCCTCTGTTCACCTTCACATCACCCCCCACAGTAATGTCCCCTGTCCCACCTTCACATCACCCCCCCACAGTAATGTCCTCTGTCCACCTTCACATCACCCCCCACAGCAATGTCCCCTGTCCACCTTCACATCCCCCCCCACAGTAATGTCCCCTGTCCACCTTCACATCACCCCCCACAGTAATGTCCCCTGTCCACCTTCACATCACCCCCCACAGTAATGTCCCCTGTGTCCACCTTCACATCACCCCCCACAGTAATGTCCCCTGTCCACCTTCACATCACCCCCCACAGTAATGTCCCCTGTCCACCTTCACATCACCCCCCACAGTAGTGTCCCTGTCCACCTTCACATCACCCCCCACAGCAATGTCCCCTGTCCACCTTCACATCACCCCCCACAGTAATGTCCCCTGTCCACCTTCACATCACCCCCCACAGTAATGTCCCCTGTCCACCTTCACATCACCCCCCACAGTAATGTCCCCTGTCCACCTTCACATCACCCCCCACAGTAATGTCCCTGTCCACCTTCACATCACCCCCCCACAGTAATGTCCCCTGTCCACCTTCACATCACCCCCCCACAGTAATGTCCCCTGTCCACCTTCACATCACCCCCCACAGCAATGTCCCCTGTCCACCTTCACATCACCCCCCACAGCAATGTCCCCTGTCCACCTTCACATCACCCCCACACATAGATGTCCTCTGTCCCACCCCATCACCCCCAGCAGTAATGTCCTCTGTCCCCTTCCCCCCCCCCACAGTAGTCCTTGTCCACCTGTCACATCACCCCCCCCACAGCAATGTGTCCTCTGCCCCCTTCACATCACCCCCACAGTAGTGCCCCCTGTACCCCCCAACAATGCAGTGTCCTCTTCCCATCACCCCCCACAGTAGTGTCTTCTAACCCCCAATGCATTGTCCTCTGCCCCCTCACCCCCCCAGTAGTGTCCTTCTGTCCTTTATCACCCCCCACAGTGTCCTCTGCCCCCGCCCCCACATGTCCATCTCCCTGGACCCTGCTCTTCCCCTATCACATCCCCCCAGTAGCATGTCCCTATACCTTCACATCCCCCCCGCAGTCAATATATCCCTCTCCCCCCTGCATTCACCAGTATCTGTCTCCCCTGACCCTGCATTCACTATATCTGCTCTCCATCTCCCCCTGCATTCACTATATCCGCTCTCCCCGGACCCTGCATTCACTATATCCGCTCTCCCCGGACCCCCGCATTCACTATATCCCGGTCTCCCCGGACCCTGCATTCACTATATCCGCTCTCCCCGGACCCTGCATTCACTATATCCCTCTGCCCCCGGACCCTGCATTCACTATATCCGGTCTCTCCAAGGACCCTGCATTCACTATATCCGGTCTCCCCCGGACCCCTGCATTCACTATATCCGCTCTCCCCGGACCCTGCATTCACTATATCCGCTCTCCCCGGACCTGCATTCACTATATCCGCTCTCCCCCGGACCCCGCATTCACTATATATCCCGGTCTCCCCGGACCCCTGCATTCACTATATCCGCTCTCCCCGGACCCTGCATTCACTATATCCGCTCTCCCCGGACCCTGCATTCACTATATCCACTCTCCCCGGACCCTGCATTCACTATATCCGTTCTCCCCCCCGGGACCCTGCATTCACTATATCTGGTCTCCCCGGACCCTGCATTCACTATATCCGGTCTCCCAGGACCCTGCATTCACTATATCCGGTCTCCCCGGACCCTGCATTCACTATATCCTGGTCTCCCCGGACCCTGCATTCACTATATCCGATCTCCCGGACCCTGCATTCACTATATCTGGTCTCCCACAGTACGCAACCCCGGAAATGCAATTATTTTAGTAAATATTAACAGCTAAATACCTTTTCTCATCAGCAGTTAGAGCAGTCTTGTGACTTCTATCAATGTCCCCCGAGCACTTGGTAAAGCTTGTAGGAGAGTTTTCTTACTGCTCTAGGAGATGCAGAACCCCTGATCTCTGTGTGGACAGTGCTGATTGGCCCTGTGCTGATCACATTCACTCTCTCCAAACCCCCCCCCCCCCCAAAAAAAAACCCTCTCAATGTGACCAGTCAATTTTGTATATCTATCAGTGTCCAGCAGAGCACTGGTTAAAGCTTGCAGGAGGAGTTTTCAATTCCTAAAATATTAGTGCAGCGCTAAAAAAATGCATGTCACAAATTCCATAAACGCATGGGACTTAAATGCATATGTGAGTAAAGTGCTGAAAGTGCAAAATTATATAACTAGTTCAAGATGACATAAAATGCAGTAAATTAAGTTCATTAGAGCATTTGTGAATTTAAAGTGTCTGCCTGTGCAAAGAGCTTATCAGCTGAAGAAATGCCTGTGATTGGCATGCAGAATCCCTGAGTAACTGTGTAAAAGGAAATCCCTCTTGATCACGGATGTACACTCACCAACCAAAATTATAATGCGCAATTAATAATACTTGCACATCTGGGGGTGCAGCAGGTCCATGCTGACAGCACGGGGTCATCCATCCGTCAGGGTGGGTTTCTGGTGCTCCTGGGGGATAGCTCAGAACCCCTGATCTCTGTGTGGTAGTGCTGATTTAAGGTAATAATGTTGCTAATCACATGCACGTGGAGTAAAAAAAAAAATAATAAAAAAGTACTCTCAATCTGCCGCCGCTCATCAGTAGCAATGTTGCTGAGTTCTAGCAATAGGGTCCAGCAGAGCACGTTTGTGTAATAACAGTCTTCAGGAGGAGTTTTCAGTCTGCTCTGGGAGGATGCAGAACCCCTGATCTCTGTGTGGACAGTGCTGATTGACGCTGTGCTGATCACATGCAGTCTCAAAAAAAGAAAAAAAAACCCTCTCTAGCAATACACACCAAACTGAGCATGTGCAGAGCATCTCCACATGATATGTCTTATCAGGAGATGGGGGGGGGGGGGGGGGCACTGGAAGAAGGGGAGTATCAGAGAACTCAGGATCAAACAGCCTTTTTACACAATGCAGAGGATTAACCCCTTAGGTTCCACAATGAGTATAACAAGCATGGTTTACTGCATCTACAGACTGATTGTTCTGTTGTGGGTTTAGCAACACTTTAATACAAATTATACAAAAAGGGGCTTTGAGCCCACTCTGTAAATGTAATCACATAGGGCCGGGGTCAGTCTCCTTTAAGCAGAAGTAGTCTTGGGCCCCTGTAACGCTAAAGCTGACCACACACAATACAATCTGAACTTACAATCTCCTTCAGATCTTCCATCAACTATTAAGAGAACGGTCTGTCTCACTTGATGCAAACTGAATTGCTTGTTTTGGTTTCCCTTCATATTACATTGTTTTGGTCAATCTAAATGAGATAGTACAGAGATTGTGTCTAATTGTATGGTGTGTGCCCGTCCTAACTGGCTTCTTGTGTTGTATATGGACCAGTCTACACAAAAACTGAACTGGATCATCTCAGCCCTGACGGAGAAAGATTCCAGGAGTAAGACGCGGACATTAGGTAAGATTGGTCTGTTATGGATATTATGATATGACGTGGCTCCTGGTATTATATCTCTCGTCTTCCCGGTCAGATGATCGCAGATCGCAGGACTCAGAGGAGACGGTTGCAGCAAGCCCAGATGGAAGCGGGGAGAAGGACTGCCTGTACCACGTCAACTCTCGGATCCTGCAGTACCCAGACTCTAAAATAACCCGCTACCCAGTGCCCGATGAGTTTGTGCCATGGGAGGTGAGTACCTGTCAGTGACCTCTGAAGACTTTGCCTTGGGAGACAGGTTCTCTGGCTCCCAAGGCAAGGATGCCAAAGTGAACCCCCAAGATTTTTTATTTGGGATTAAAATACAAACAAAAAATGTAAGAGTAGTTAAAATTACAATTTACTAAAATTACAATTTACTAAAATTGCAACTTACTAACATTACAACTTGCTAAAATTACAACTTACTAACATTACAACTTGCTAAAATTACAACTTACTAAAACTACAACTTACTAAAATTACAACTTTAAAACGACAAAATTCCTTTACAAGTACTAAAATGACAAAAATCTTTTGCAAATTTTAAAAATTCTGAAATGACAAGTTTTAAAATTACAAATTACTAAAATGACTAAAATTTCATTACTAAAATGACAAAATTCCTAATTACTAAAAGTGCTAAAATCACAAATTTTTCCAAAAGACTAAAATTACAATATTACAAATTAATGTGGGTGTAGGATTATAGCTCCTTTTTTAAGATTACTTGACTAAAACTGGATGGACTTCCTTTTTCAGCCAGACAAAACTAACTAAAATCTAAAATTTTAAAAGCAAAAAGCAGCTTACAAAAAGGTAACCAAAAACAATATTACTAGTTACTAACGTTACTAACAATTTTTACAAATTACTAAAATTACAAAGCTTTTAAAATTACTAATGACAAAATTCCTAGATACTTACAAGTTATTAAAATTAATAAAATCTCAATTTTGCCAATTTTACAAATGACTAAAATGACAAGTTTTACAAAATTACTAAATTACTAAAATTACAACTTACTAAAATGACAAAATTCCTAAATTACTAGTTACTAAAATTGCTAAAATCACATTTTTTTTAAAAAGACTAAAATTACAATAGCCACAAATTACTAAAAGTACAACTGATGAAAGTTAAAAATTTTTACAAATTGCTAAAATTATAAATTACTAAAACTACATATTTTACAAATTCCAAATGACTAAGATTCCAAATGTCTAAAATTACACATTTTACAAATTACTAAAATGACAAATTTTACAAATTGCAAACTACTAAAATGACTACATTTCCAATTACTAAAATGACAAATGCTAGGTTTAAAACAACTAACTGGGGTTAACTACAAATGTTATTCTCTGATTTGTCTCTTTTATATGGCATCTTGCATACTGTACTGATGTTTGAGCATCAGCATTCTGGACGTAATTTCTTGTGTTTTTTTGTTTTGCCCGTATTGATTTGCACTATGCGCATTTCCATGCACAATACATTTCTAGGCAAAAACCACTGGCATGTGTGCTCATGCGTGCATTTGTGTGCAACGGCACAAAATACTGACAGGAATACAAATATTATTATTATTTTTTTTTTTTTAACTTGTTTTAAGTAAAGGCAAATGGGCTGCATTTTAGATCAGTAAAAAAAATGCTCACTGAGCTTTTTCAAGCTGCAGTGTGTAAGAGGCCTAAAGGTGCTCAAATCATGTTTCTGCTACAAACAGATTTGGTGCTAAAAACACGAAAAAAAAAAAAAAAAGTTGAAAATTTACATACAAACAAAATAAAATCAGCAACAATGAAAAAAGGGGTTTGCTAAAAATGAAAGCAGTAACCGTAATTTATGAATGAAAGCTACAATAGGACCATTGATTTATAAATGGAAGCAAAGCAGGACCCGATCAGTCAAACTGATAGTTCAGTCAGGGGCCAATCCCTATATAATCCTCAGAGCCCTGTGACAGTCAGGTGCTGTGCTCCGTCTACAGAGTGGGAGTGTAGGCTGCAGGACTGAGCTGTCAGCTTGATGGGGAGGCAATCAGATACTATCGGGATCAACCATCTTCAGTATCTTCTTTAGCCCTCCTGATCTCCAGCTACTTACTGACCTTCAGGGCCAGGACAAGGTGTGGGCAGAAGGGGCAACTGCCCTGGGCACAGGGGTAGGGAGGGTAGAGTGCCCCTTCAATGAAAGCACCTTTCAGTGGATGGCAACCAGCAGCCAATGACTTCATGGTCACTCTGACAGCCACTGCTGCAACACTGTGCTCCAAAATGCACGCCTCCACCCCATCCACCCACAGCTGTCACCAAAAACACAGCATGCATGGGCAGCACAGGGGCTAAAACGCATTTCAACATGCAATATATATATATACTGTATATATATACTGTGTGTGGTGGCTCTTGATGCATTGACTCCAGCCTCAGTCCACTCCTTGTGAAAGTCCCCAACACTTTTGAATGGCCTTTTCCTGACAATCCTCTCCAGGCTGCAGTCATCCCTGCTGCTTGTGCACCTTTTTCTTCCACACTTTTCCCTTCCACATAACTTTCTATTAATGTGCTTTGATACAGCACTTTGGGAACATCCAACTTCTTTTGGAATTCCCTTTTGAGGCTTTCCCTCCTTATGGAGGGTGTCAATGATGGTTTTCTGCACAACTGTCAGGTCAGCAGTCTTTCCCATGATTGTGATTCCTACTGAACCAGACTGAGAGACCATTTAAAGGCTCAGGAACCCTTTGCAGGTGTTATGGCTTAATTAGCTGATTAGAGTGGGACACTTTGAGCCGAGAATATTGCACCTTTTCACAATATTCTCATTTTCTGAGATTGTGGATTTGGGGTTTTCATGAGCTGTAAGCCATAATCATCCCAATTATGACAAATCACGGCTTGAACTATCTTGCTTTGCATGTAATGAGTCTATCTCATATATTAGTTTCACCTTTTAAGTTGCTGCACTGAAATAAATGACCTTTTGCGCGATATTCTAATTTTTCGAGTTTCACCTGTATATACATATATACATATATACATACACACATATACATACATATATATATATATATATATATATATATATATATACACACACACACATATATACATATATAAACACACACACACACACATATATATATATATATATATATATATATATATATATATGCACACACAGTATCTCCCAGAAGTGAGTCCCCCCTCACATTTTTGTAAATATTTGATTCTCTCTTTTCATGTGACAACACTGAAGAAATGACACTTTGCTACAATGTGACGTAGTCAGTGTACAGCTTGTATAACATGTAAATTTTCTGTCCCCTCAAAATAAACTCAACACACCGCCATTAATGTCTAAACCACTGGCAACAAAAGTGAGTCCACCCCTAAGTGACAAGGTCCAAATTGGGCCCAATTAGCCATTTTCCCTCCCCGGTGTCATGTGACTCATTAGTGTTACATTTGGTGGTATCGCTCTCACTCTCATACTGGTATGAGACTCCGATCCATTTTGCTCAATCTGCAGATCCGTTCCATCCTGCGGGGATCTTCGGCTTTCTTTACAACTTACCTTTTCTTGGAGCGGGTCCGGTGTCACCCCGTATAGGTTGCATGCCGATGATCCCGGCAGGATACGGGGATTGCCGGCATGCAACCTATACAGGGTGACACCGGACCCGCTCCAAGTAAAGGTAAGTTGTAAAGAAAGCTGACAATCCCCGCAGGATGGATCGGATCCATCTTACGGGGATCGTCGGCTTGCTTTATAACTTACCTTTTCGTGGAGCGGGTCTGGTGTCACCCCATGCGGTCGGTGTCACCCGGTGCGGGCCCCACTCCCCGCACCTGCCTCAGGACTCCACTGCCGCTTAGTGAATTGTCCCTGTTCAAAGTTTGTGGTCGAACTTGCGTTAGGTTCGAATGTTCGACCACAAACCAAACAGGGGAGTGTTCGACCCATCACTATTAGGGTACATGAAAGACTACCAGAGAAAGACAGCAACACAAAAGTGGACAAAGTAGTGATCATGAAAAAGGTTCTGGGTATGAAAGTGATTAGTTTACCCTGTATATCATCCACAGGTGGAATTCCCAGGATATAATCCTCTCCTGTACCATGCCGAGAGGATTGACCGTGGGGAGTATGACCCCAAAACTGAGTAAGTCATTTATTTTTAGCATTTTACCACTCCCATTTACAGAGAGAAAAAGAATAAAACACAAATTTTGGTAAATTCAGAAGAAAATTGATTCTCTTTCTGTTGAGATCAATAGGGACAGACAGAAATTTGACACAATGAAAAGCATAAAGGTTTTAAATAAACATTATGTGATAAGAGACACAAAGCAAATTGCTGAAAAGAATACAATAATCGAAATATCCAAAGCATACACTAATATTAAGAATATATAGCAGGAGAAAAATATAGAGAATTTAGCCAGCGTACAAGACTTCATGAAATATGAATAATATGACACAAGGCACACTGAAATATTAGTATCCATAAACACTATACAGCAGGGGTGTTTAAACTGTGGTCCACAGGCCACGAGACCCTCGGAGCCCTCTGATGTGGCCCTTGGCCTCAAACTATGGGAGCGCACGCATGGGATTGGCAACCCATTGACCTGATCTGGGCTTGCCGACTCGCCGTCGTAGAGGGCATCGAGCCAGCAGTGGAGGAAGCAGGTGGCCATGGAGGGAACAGTAATGCCAGCTCCTGTTCCAGGCGGAGGGAGACCAAGTGCCCTTTGTCTGGGACTTTTCTAGCATCCTGGAGATGGAAAGGAATGCCAGCAGAAGCTGGAAGAGGAAAAGAAGGTCCGTATATTTAATACCACATTAATTGCGCTTTTGCTATGGGCATATCAGCACTTATCAAAGGGTTAACAACTATTATTTATTTCAGGTACTTATATAGCGCCGTCAATTTATGCAGTGCTTTACATGTATATTGTACATTCACATCAGTCCCTAACCCTCAAGGGGTGTACAATCTAAGGTCCCTAACTCACATTCATACATACACATACTAGGGCCAATTTAGACAGGAGCCAATTAACTTGTCATGTACTTTGGAGTGTGGGAGGAAACTGGAGTGCCTGGAGGAAACCCATGCAGGCACAGGGAGAACATGCAAACTCCAGGCAGGTGGTGCTGTGGTTGGGATTTGAACCAATGACTCTAGTACTGCCAGGCAGAAGTACTAACCACTGAGCCACTGTGCCGCCCTATTAGGCTGCTTTCACACTGATCTGTGGGTGCAGCGCAGTGCACCTTCGGCTTTCCTGCAGGTTAGCTGAACTGAGCCATAGACTTCTGTTATAACCTGCAGGTGTCATGCTATGGCAAAGTGCTGCTAACCTACAGGCAAGCTGAAGGTGCACTACAGTGGACCACAGCACATCAGTGTGAAAGCAGACTTTTAGGGGGCTCAGGACAGTAAGGGCGTGTTTAAATTTGCAATTTGGGGGGTTTTAAAACCCCATAGATGAAATCCCCCCCCCCAACCACTTGTGTAGTGTCTGGGGTCACATTGGCAATCCCGCCCCATGCTCCAAGGGGCCCATGCGGCCTCCCTGTCACTTTCTGTTTTATACTTGGTGAGGAGGGATGGCAGGGGTGGTATACACAGGAACCGATCCTTTCCATTTTCCTCCTGCAACCGCCAAAAGACATCATCTCCATCTCTTCCTCCCTTCCTCTGGCATTCAGCGGCCTCAGGAGGAAGATGTTCATCATGCTATTCAAAATAAAAAATGTAAATTCTGAATCAGTGGCCCTTGTTTTTCAAAAGTTTGAGCACCCTTGCTATACAGTATATACACTATATGGCCTAACATTGTTGACCATCACACCCAATTATGGATAATGGTATGTTGACTTCCCCCTCTAAGTTATCCAGGTGTTTCCAGTGAAGGTACTGGTAATACAACAGCATACAAGGACATTGTAGACAATTGTGCTCTTCCACCCTTGTGGTAACAGTTCGGTGAAGGCCTTTTCCTGTTCCAGCATGACTGTGCCCCTGTGTGCACAGCCAGCTCCTTAAAGACATGGTTTGACAAGTTTGTTGTGGAGGAACTCACGTGGCCCAGGGGCGGACTGACCATTTGGAAACTCGGGCACTTCCCGAGGGCCCGGGGTCAGTAGGGGGCCCCTGGAGATGCCCCTGGTACCTTTTTCGTTGGCTTTTTTGAGTTTGGGCAAGGACACAGGGGCCCCATGATCCCATATAGCCCGGGGGCCCCATCCTGGCGTGGCCTGACTTCAACCCTACTGAACACCTTTGGAACAAACTGAAACACCAATTGTGGGTCAAGTCTTCTCATACAACATCAGTAAATGACCAACAAATGCTCTTTTGGTCCCATCAGTACAAATTCCCACAGACACACTCCAAAGTCTTATAGAAACCTTCCCAGGAAAATGAAAGCTGTTGGTGCAAAGGAGGACCGACTCCATAAAAATGCCTATGGTTTCAGAATAGGATTTCCAACAAGCCAATACAGGTGTGGAGTTCATATGCCTGCACACTTTTGGGCATAGAGCTTATTTCACATGTAGTTTTACCATGACCCGAATGGTGATAAAATATACAAAATAAATGCTGTACTCACAAATCCATACAGCACTAAATACAATATGGACATCTGCTGTGCTGTCTGCATTCATATATTGAGGAATGGAGAATTTATTTCTCCGTATAATTAATAGAGGGCATCACAGAGCAAATTATTAGTTAGAATGTCTCAGAATAATTATATAGATGGAGATTCAAGAGTTCTTTTCCTGTGTACAGCCTCTGCACTTAACCTGTGTTCTCTTTTTATCCCTTGTGAATCCAGGATGGAGCAGAAGAGCCGTCAGTACAATGTTATAGATGGCCTCTATGACTTCCGCAGCTGCTGTGGCATCTATACAGTCAAGGATGGTTTGCCCTTGTAAGTCCAATATGTTTTATGCTGCCTTCTGTCATTTAGGGCAGATCTGTACCTACCCCATTCACTGACCTCCCTGATGGGTTTCTGGTGGACCCCCTGACCTCAAATACTGTACAGCAGGGGCGGACTGACCATTCGGAAACTTGGGCACTACCCGAGGGCCCGGGGTCAGTAAGGCGCCCCATGAGATGCCCCTGGAACCTTTCATAGGCTTTTTTGGGTGTGGTTTGAGTGTGGGCGAGGACACAGGGGCCCCATGATCCCCTATTGCCCAGGGGCCCCATAAGTTGTCAGTCCACCCCTGCTGTACAGTATGTAAAAATGATAAATGCAAAAAAAGATAAAAGTGACATTTGTTGATGTTGATTGTACAGAGCCCAAGAGAGGGCAGGCACTAGTCAGAGCAAAGCAGAGATGGCAGGCACTAGTCAGAGCAAAGCACTCACCCACTTGTGACTAGTACTCAAGATGCCTCCAAACTAAAGACAAGGGCTTCAGAGAAGATGACTACTTTCAGGTTTGCTACTTACAATCATTGTAATAGTGGCTTCACCCTTAATCAACAGTGTACCAGGGTTTTATTACTGACCACTGACCACCAACGTCATAGGGACTTTGGCACTGTCAATGTCAAACAATATACCAGGGCTTAGTCAATGACTACCAATGTCATGGAGCCATCATCACTATCCACTCATTACTAATCTAATTGTGATGTCTCCACTGACCACCAATAAGACTTTGCCACTGACCATCAAGGTAACGGGGGGCATAGTTACTGACCACTAATGTAATGAAGGCTTCACCACTTACCTCCAATGTAACAAGGGCTTCACTACTAACAATCAATGTAATGGGTGTTTTGTTACTGATCATCAATAAAAAGAGAGGAATTCAATGCTGATCAGCAAAATTATTGGCTTTGCCATGGACTACCATTATGAAAAGGGTTTTGCCACTGTTCTCCAACATTATCAGGGCTTTGCCACAAACCACCAATATGTAGGAGGCTTCACCAATGACCACCGATATAACAAGGGCTACCAAAATGACAACTAACTTAAAGGGACTTCCCCTTTACAATGATGGTCCATGTGGAAGCCATCAACCAAAAGGGGTCTCTGCCACTAAGCATGTAAAGGAGGCTTTGCTGCTGACAAGGAACTATGTCATTACCACAAACCTATATGAACCTTCACCATTTACCATCAAAGTAACATGGGTTTTGCCACCTACTACCATTGTAACGGGGATCTTTATCCTGAAACCAGTATAATGGGCCACTTTGAAATGTTTGTGTCTCACGTTAACATTCTGTTATGGGGCCCTATAATTTGTAGATTTGCTTGTGATCAGAACTGATATTTCAATATTGATTTTTCTCCATTTATACATAGCCTCCATCAGCATGTAATGCGGTTCCACTGATGGCTGAGTCTCTTCAGAGGGTTTTTGAAATTCTTTCTGTCCTTATTACAGAGAATTAGTGGCAGATAATTCCTTCACGTTATTATTATTATTATTATACAGGATTTATGGCGCCAACAGTTTGCTCAGCAATTTATAATATAACGGGAGACAATACAGCAACAATACAGTTCAATACAAGAGGGATAGGAGAGCCCTGCTCCTTGGAGTTTACAATCTAGGAGGGAGGGGCTAGTGGTACAAAAGGTAGTAACTGTGAGGGATGGACTGGTAGGAAGAATAGAAGATTCCATTATTAGATGAGGGCAGGATAGGCTTCCCTGAAGAGATAGGTTTTCAGAGATAGCCTAAAAGTGAGCAGAGTAGGCGATAGTCTGATAAATTGGGGTAGAGAGTTCCAGAGGATGGGGAAGCTCTGGAGAAGTCCTGGAGATGAGCATGGGAGGAGGAGACAAGGGAGCTAGAAAGCAGGAGGTCGAGCAAGGAGCGGAGAGTACGGTTTGGGTGATATTTGGAGACAAGATTGGTGATGTAATTTGGGGCAGAGTTATAAACGGCTTTATATGTTATTGTTAATGTTTTGAATTTTATCCGTTGGGCAATGGGAAGCCAGTGGAGGGATTGGCAGAGAGATGGAGGACACTGAGTGGAGGCCAGTGGAGGGATTGGAAGAGAGAGGTAGAGGACACTGAGTGGAGGCCAGTGGAGGAATTGGCAGAGAGGGGTGGAGGACACTGATTGGGAGCCAGTGGAGGGATTGGCAGAGAGAGATGGAGGACACTGAGTGGAGGCCAGTGGAGGGATTGGCAGAGAGAGGTAGAGGACACTGAGTGGAGGCCAGTGGAGGGATTGGCAGAGAGAGGTAGAGGACACTGAGTGGAGGCCAGTGGAGGGATTGGCAGAGAGGGATGGAGGACACTGAGTGGAGGCCAGTGGAGGGATTGGCAGAGAAGGATGGAGGACACTGAGTGGAAACCAGTGGAAGGATTGGCAGAGAGGGGTGGCTGATACAGAACAGTTAGTAAGGTGGATGATTCTGGCAGCAGCATTCATGATGGACTGAAGAGGGGATAGCCTGCGATGAGGTCGGCCAATGAGGAGGGAGTTACAATAGTCAAGGCGAGATACAGTATAACAAGGGAGTGAATAAGTTGCTTAGTGGTTTCCGAGGTTAGGAACGGGCGTATCTTTAGATGTTAAGGTGAAGTCTACAAGATTTGGACAGTGATTGGATTTGGGGCTGAAAGGACAGATGGGAGTCTAGGATGACACCTAGTACCCTGGCATGAGGGGAGGGACTGATGGTTGTATTGTTAATCTTGATGGAGAAGTCAGGGGGGGGGGGGGGGGGGCACGGGCTGGGGGGAATACTAAGAGCTCAGTTTTGGAAAGATTGAGTTCACTTGCAGTAGACCAGAGTCCAGGGAGCAGAAGTAGCAGCCATGATGGTTTAGATGCATTATCTTCCTGAAGAATAGTCCTGATATGAGTTTTCCTCTAGCTTCCTCAGAGTATAAATGATGGCTTATATGGCCCAATGATATGAATTAAAAAGTCCTTGTTGCTCAAAAGAAGCCCACAAACTTCCCTAATGCTGGAATTCATATGTAGAGTTCTCTCTGGTGTAGTAACTGGATAAGGATTTTCCTCTGCCCTCATCACTAGAATGAAAAACAACAGGACCAAGTACAGTCTGTGCTTAAAAAGGAAATCTTGTCACTTTATGCAGAAACCCAATGGGACGAACTGGACTGAAAGGAATCGGGAATATGCGTTGGTTTGGGCCAAACCATTCTTTGCATCCTGTACTTACACGGTGAGCAGCAATAATGTTTATTTCTTATACCCTTTTCTGTACAGTTGATGACTAGATGTGCATCTCAGAACTGAGAAATGAGCAGGACAGTACAGAGGATTGAATAGGAAAAACACAGATTGAGAGGATTGAGTAGGGTGTAATAGTACAACACAGAGGGCTGAGCAGGAGCTCACAGGTGGTAGAGCAGAACAGCACAGAGGGCAGAGCAGAACAGCACAGAGGGCAGAGTAGATAGTAGTACAGAAGACACAGCAGGACAGTACAATTGATGGAGCAGACAGTATAGGGGACAAAGCAGGACAGCACAAAGGCAGAGTAGACAGTGCAGAGGACACTGCATGACAGTACAGTAGGTGGGGCAGACAGTACAGGGGACACAGTAGGACAGTACAATCGATGGAGCAGACAGTACAAGGGACACAGCAGGACAGCACAGAGGCAGAGCAAACAATACAGAGGACACAGCAGGTTAGCACAGGTAGCAGAGCAGGAAAGGACAGAAGGCAAAGTAGACAGTATTGAGGACAAAGCAGAACAGCACCGAGGGCTGAGTAGCACAGCACAAAAGGAAGAGTAGACAGTAAAGAGGACACAGCAGAACAGCTCAAAAGACAGAGTAGACAGTACAGAGGACACAACAGCACAGTACAGAGGACACAGTAGGGCAACACAGAGAACACAGCAGGACAGTACAGAGGACATAGCAGGGCCACACAGAGGACACAGCAGGGCAACACAGAACAACAGGACAGCATAGATGACAGAGTAGACAGTACAGATGACACAGCAGGACAGCACAGAAGACAGAGTAGACAATACAGATGACACAGCCGGGTAGCACAGAAGACAGAGAAGACAGTACAGAGGACACAGCGGGGCAGCATAGATGACAGAGTAGACAGTACAGAGGACACAGCAGGGCAACACAGAGGGCTGGGTAGACAGTACAGAGGACACAGCAGGACAAAGGACACAGCAGGACAGGACAGAGGACACAGCAGGATAGCATAGAGGACATAACAGGGCAGCACATAGGGCTGGGTAGACAGTACAGAGGACACAGCAGCACAGTAGACAGGATAGAGCAGGACAACAAAGAAGGCAGAGTACACAGTACAAATGACAGAGCAGAACAGCCCAGAAGGCAGATTAGACAGTACAGAGGACAGAGCAGGACAGCATAGAGGATAAAGTTGGACAGCACAGAGAACAGAGTAGGCCTGTGGAGATGATGGATCAGATGGTATAAAGGACACAGCAAGGCAGCAGAAAATTGTCAGGACAGAGCACAGAGTAAGCACAGTACAAAGGACAATATGCAGTATCTCTGTACAGAATACATATCTCTGTGCAGGCTGTAAGAGGTCCCAAAACAGACGTCATGTTAGTGGCTCCTAGGGTACACTGCATCTTTTTAGAGTATCTAACATTCTTGTTTTTGGCAATCATTTTGCAATGTGACTGCATTTACTGATTCATCTTTTGACTGCATTGCTAGGTGGAGCACCGGCTCAGCCAGCGGCCTCAACCAGACAGCATCCAAGAATATTCTGGAAGTTCTGGTAGTGAGGTGGAGAGGAAATGAGCTTTGGTCATTACCGGGGGTAAGGGAAAAAAGTATGCTAATAATTATCATCGCTCACAGTAATGATGGAGGAAAAAATGTATACCAATGGGCTGTTTGGTCTTAGGTTGGTGTTTGGGCACTCATGTTTACATAGAGTATTACATGTCATTCTGTGGAATTATGGCTGAACCTCCTGGATGACTGATGTTAGAAGGCATTGTCTCTGGATTATGTACCATTTCCTGGAATTTTTGCACCTGTCACGGAAACCACCGCGAATTGGGCTCCTGAGGTGGCCTGGGGGCCAGCCTCTTTCCCACCCACTATGAACCCAGGACCAGGGAGATCCCCTTCTTGGGGTTACAAAGAACCTTTTCCCCAAGAGGGTTATATCACTTCTCTGGGTACCTGGCTGGCCATGAATTATACCAGCTACCCTTTCCATGCAATTAGGGCTGGAGGGACTGTTTCTGAGACCCCTCGGCATAATGTACATGGTGGAACTATGTGCAGGGAATGAATTCCAGCACATGTGGGTTTAAGAAACTTTATTGTTTGCTGTAATTAGGTTTAGGTGATAAGCTGTCACTTTGTTTAATCACCTCCAGAGTCCAGGCTGCTAGGTGCCGGGAAGGAATACATTATTTTTTCTTGTGTTTGATTGTTTATTTGTTTATGTAATGTAATTCTCTGCTGGGATTTGTAATGTGTGCCATACCTGTCTAGGGGGAAGGTTTTGTGTATAAATGCTGTGCTGTTTGTTAATAAAGTCAATCCTGTTTTACTCCAACATTGGTTCTGTCTGATGCTTGGGGTACATTTTCTATATTCAAGTTCCAGAGTGGATGAAGCTGTAGTTTGGTGGAGATACCCAGTCGGGGTGTCAGGCAGTCCGTCACAGCATCCAAATGCTTTCCGGGTAAAAACAAACTGCCACATAAATTCTATGCTGTAGATGAAACAGATGGAATTGTAAAACTTTCTCATTCAATAAATCAGAAGATCATGTCACTTCGAAAAGCAATAGGGTTGATGAACCTCTTTGAATATGTGGCATACTCAGTGGTGTATTTAGATTTTGTGCTGCCCTAGGCAACACAAAAATGGGACCCCCCCCTTCCTACGGAGATAGCCTGACATTGACCAACAACATCCCTGCCACCCCCCCCTTCCTGCGGAGATAGCCTGACATTGACCAACAACACCCCTGTCCCCCCCCCACACCCATGGGAGCCTTCCACTAACACACATACCTGCCCCCGGCGAGAGAGAGACTCACCTTCACAGCTCTGGACATCCCTGGGAATGAGAGTCGGGCTCTGCATACACCATCAAGCAGCCCACAGCCTCTCTCAGTTCCCACCTGGTCCCCACACCGCATATATCCCTTCTTCTGTCCCTTTTTCAGAAGAATGCCGCCCTAGGCAAATGCCTTGTGTGCGTTGTGGTAATACGCCCCTAGACATACCCCCACATCATAGGTCATATATCACAAGATTGATCAAACGGTGATAGCTGTCACTCTGTGTGTATGTGTAAGACTGTCACAGCACTTCATTGCCAAAAAAAAAAAAATACTCTGACCTATGAAAGCAGGATGGTGGTGTGGCTTACCATGGTGGCCACCAGAGGACAAACATGAGGAGAATACTAACACCCTCGGAATTAATTTTTGAAAAAAATATATTTTAGTTTTAAATATCCAATTAATTAGACTGTATAGCCAAAGGTTTGAGAACACCTGACCATCACACTTATATTAGCTTTTGGGAGATTCTTTTCTAAAGACATGGGCAGAAATACCGTGTTGCCCAATCCCCCTGCAATAGCTTCCATTCTTTGTGGCAGAATTTCCACAAGATTTTGAATTATGTCTGTGGGAATTTTTGGCCATTCGGTCAAAAGAGGAGGATGAGAAGACCCATTCCATTCTAGCTCTGGTCAGAGCTCTGTTCAGGCCATTTGAGTTCTTCCTTGCCACACTGGTCAAATCAAAGCAAAGGTGCCAAGTCATGATATCACAATCAGAAAAGTGCCTTCTGCAAACTATTGCAAGCACACAATTGTCTAAAATATCTTTGTATGGTGTAAATGGTAGGTCTGCTTAAGTGTATGTACTATGCTGCAGTCCACCTTTCCTGTAAATGCTAACCATTCCACTGCGGAGCATTCAGGGTAATATCTTTTTCTCCATTCTGGGAATATTTTTTCAGGGCACGCTGGATCCTGGACAGCGGATTCCCATTAGGTTCAAGGCACTGCTAGTACATACAGACCTGAGTGAATTTCTGGCATTGCTGGACTCTGGGACAGAGGTTGGTAGTTTGCTGATTACATTTTGGTGCACCAAATCAGGTTAACAGCATTAGAACCCAACAACATATCTATCTTCTCTGATAGGTCTTCCACGGGTACCTGGATGATCCTCGAAATACAGACAATGCCTGGATAGAGACTCTTGCTGTCAACATCCACCTGGACACAAAGGAGAATTTGGACAAACTCTTGCAGGTTCAAGAAAGTTTTGTTTTATTATTTCCACATTTCTTCTGACCAGTGGCGTAACTAGAACCTTCAGGGCCCAGGTGCAATAAACCATGAAGGGCCCCCCTGACCTCTGGCCAGGCCCTACTTTCCAAGCCCAGTGGCAGAACACCAGGGCCCGGTCACAAGTGCAACTTTGTGACCCTGGAAATTCAGCCACTGGTGTCAGTAGTTTTTTTTATCTTTGTTATTTTATTTATATATATTTGACACTTTTTTTTAAATTTTTTAAAAAAAATATTTTTACAATTTTTTTTAAGAGCCCCATTGGGGGGCTTTGTTCAGATATCAGGGGCCTACGCAGACCTCTGATGTTCCACTTTTGAGACAGAGAAAGGTTTGAGACAAAAATTAAGGACACAGCACTCAATATCTATCTCTGCAGCCTCAGCCTAGGAATAGCTCTGTACAGAACTTCCTGTTTATTCACAAACTGAAACATAGTAAACACAGTTTACTATGTTTCAGTTAGGAATGGGCAGGGTCATTGACTGGCACCGATCACTGACTCTGTCCATTCAGAAAAGGAAGGGGTTGGTAAATGACACATTTACTGGCCTCTTCCCCGCTCTCCATCCTGACAGATCCCCCGCAGCATCCAGGGGAAGAGGGGGGCCGGGAAAGAGCTCAGGGGGCTGGAGAGCACATGGGGGCAGCAGAAAAAATCTAGATAGGAGGAGCAGCGGGGATGGCTGCCTATAGAGGAACTGATCTCTTCATGTTTCTCCTGCAGCCGCTGAATGGTGGCTTCTCTTCCTCTCTCTCCTGCAGGCATTCATCGGCTGCAGGAGGAATATGGAGAGATCAGTTCCTCTGTATGCGGACGTACAGAGGAGCCACATGGGCCCCCTGGAGCATGGGGCTGGGTCGCAATTGTGACCCCTGTAGCTACACCCCTGCTTCTGACTACTGTTGTGTACAGGCGTACTGTGGGAGCTCTGGCTGTATTCAAGGCAAAGTATTGAAACACAAAGGGCATAGGGAGTTGGACACTGCCAGGAGGGACATAAACCAATGCAAAAAAAACTTTCTAAAAACACTATTTAGCAGACAACATTGAAAATAGATATATACTTTAAATAACATGCTCTACAGATGCATTTGAGTGATACGTGTTGTTAGAGAACATTACAATTTTCTGGGACAGCACCTGTGTCACTGTATTGTGCCATCACATAAATTGAATGTGTAATTGTTTTATTCACTTTTACAGTATGCCTTTTCTTACAACTGCCCCAATGTGGCTTTTGGTCCCCCAGGCATAACAGCCACAAAACAGTGTGGCAGTGTTTTGCCCAAGCCATTGCATAGCCTCTTGGTCACTTAGGGAGATTGGTGGTTAAAGACAACTCACTAGAGGTGGAGGTGACTACTAAACTGTCATTGTCGTCAAATTTCAGGTATGGGGTTGAACCAATAAGCTTCAGTGGTGTGCCCCAGTTGGCATCCTTTCTGGCCACCAGCACAGTGAGCTGTGAAGAAGATATAATGTTCCTGCCCATGTTTGCTGGACCTGTGTCTGTGGTCATGTGGACCTTCCCATTACTACGTGGTCTACCATCATGGAGACATTGGAGTTGGTTTACTAAAACTGGAGAGTGCAAAATCTGATGCAGCTGTGCATGATAGCCAATCAACTTCTAACTGCAGCTTGTTCAATTAAGTTTTGACAAAAAAAAAAGGAAGCTAATTGGTTTCAATGCAGAGTTGCATCAGATTTTGTACTCTCTGGTTTTAGTACCCCATTATGTTCCACATGAAAATGGAGGGCAGAGAGGCCTTCCCTGTGGATTTTTTTTTGTTCCAGCAGCTGGGGAAGAGATGCCTGCCTGACGACCAAGGGACGTATTTGTCCCATGTTTTTAATTGCCTGTATCATCTGATTAAGAACTTACAACTCTTTTTTTTTTGGGTTTGACTCAAAATATTAGTTCTTATCAACAAACAACAAATGGATCTAGCTTTTTGCCAATTATTTCATGAAATGGCTTAGTTACAGCAACTGAAGTGTACGAACTTTAAAAACAAAAAACTGATTCTTTTGGCGTTCCGTAATCTTATGGTCCTCAAAGGGTTAAGGATATAACTGGAGATGGCAGATTGGGGTTTGGAGAGGCGGAGTGAGGTTGAAGCCTACATTTGTTCCTTCTCTCTGTTTGGCCCCATGCTGACCCTCTTCCCTACTGGAAATGCTGGAAGGTATGCCTCTCAGCTCCTTCTAAGAATTCCGTCCCTAATGCTTGAGTCTGCAAATGGAGATCCTTTTGTAGTGGGGGGAAGAGGTGGAAAAGAGAGGAGCGAGAAGGAGGCAGGGTTTGCACAGAGCAGCCCTGATCCTCCTCTTTTCAGGGCCCCCACCAGCACTCTTGGCCCCTCCTCCTTGACACTTGGTATAGGGGCACTCATGCATGCTCAATCCTGAGTCATCTCGGTGTGTCCATAAGACACACATAGCGCAGCTCGGCCCTGCCACCATCCCTCCTCTCTGGCTGTGATTGACAACAGCATGAGCCAATGGCCCCCATTGCTGTGTCTGTGTCCATGAGGAGAGAGAGAGAGCCGAGACAGCCTCTGCTTTTCTGCACATCACTAGATCGAGATCAGGCTCAGGTAAGTAGAAGGGGGTGCTGGGAGCTGCTTGAAAAAGGTTTTTTTATCTTAATTCATAGAACGCATTAAGATAAAAAACCTTCTGGCTTTAGAACCACTTTAAAAAAAAAAAATTATAAATGTGAAATAAAGCAAAAAAGAAAAAAAAAACAACAAAAAAAAATGGAAACAGCAAAAGAAAGTATTTCTGCCACACAGAAAACAAAATCCTAAAATGAATTGGTGGGTCTATTCACAGTGAATAGGGGGGTAGGGGGTACATTTCACTTGCTGTAGCCCCCCACTCTGAATTTCAGTGTAATGTAGCAGTGGCACTCTGCGGCAATGTATGCAACACAATGTTTAGCACTGTATATAGTCCTGAATATGTCTGTGGTAGAACACTGGTACAGTAGCACTAACTGTTTCTTCCTGCAAGAACTGTCAGCTGTCCCTCAGGAATTCTAATACACACTGACAAAGGGTTGCTGGCAGAGATGACTTTTATAGGGAGGTGGCCGGCGCATGTGGCTACCACAAACCATTATTGTCCACAGAATTGCACCTGACCACACTTCACACTGCACTACAAGTCATTATGGACAATTTGTTTGTGACACTGTACTGTTCTTGTGACAGAATGTAAAAACATGTAAATATATAAAAAATCTAAAAGGAATTGTAATTTTTTTTTTTTTTTAACATGCTGTCACCAGTCAGTGTCCCTAATCACTGTCACCCACACACTGTCACCAACCACACACAGTGCTCTAATCACCAACACTCCACTCACAGTGTCCCTGATCACTGCCACACCAGTTAGTGTCCCTGATCACTGCCTGCCACACCAGTTAGTGTCCCTGATCACTGTCCCATCACTGCCACACCAGTTAGTGTCCCTGATCATTGCCACATGGGTGGACTGACCATTTGTAAACTTGGGCACTGCCCGAGCGCCCAAGATCAGTATGGGGCCCCATGAGATGCCCCTGGTACCTTTTTCATAGGCTTTTTTGAGTTTGGGCAAGGACACAGGGGCCCCATGATCCCCTATTGCCGGGGGACCCCATGAGTTGTCAGTCCGCCCCTGCTGCCACACCAGTTAGTGTCCCTGATCACTGCCACACCAGGTAGTGTCCCTGATCACTGCCATACCAGTTAGTGTCCCTGATCATTTCCACACCAGTCACAGTGTCCTTGATCACTGCCACACGCACAGAGATGGTGGGAACCCCTCATAATGGGCACAGCAGATGTACAGACCCGGGTAAGCATCCCTGATCATTTCCACACCAGTCACAGTGTCCAGGATCACTGCCATACCAGTTACAGTGTCTGTGACTACCGCCACACAGGCCATAGTATCACCATAAGGACTTGTTCATATGTGCAATGCTTTCTGAATAGAGATCCGTATTAAAAGAAAAAAAAATTTAACATAATTCAGGATACAACTCTACTTGGTCCATTTAAAGGGACACAAACATTATATGACCAAACATTGTATACGTATGTGAGGTCAAAAGCTCCAGGTGAAAGCACATCAGGTGTATTGGTAAAGGTGCACATATTTTGGGAGAAAATTTGAAAGCATATATGGAATATTCACTGAAGCGTCACAAGATTTATTATAGATGGGACACTTGTTGAAAGCATTATTGTTTATGTATATTTAACCACTTCATGTCCGGACCCTTTCACCCCCTTCCTGTCCAGGCCAATTTTCAGCTTTCAGTGCTATCACACGTTGAATGACAATTGCGCGGTCATGCAACACTGTACCCATATGAATTTTTTAGCATTTTTTTGAGACAAATAAAACTTCATTTTTGGTGGTATTTATTCACCACTGGGATTTTTTTTTTTTGCTATATAAATGAAAGTCCAAACATTTTTTAAAAAACGTGTTTTTCTTATAAACTTTTGCAAAGAAATAATCTTTCTGTATAAATCTTGGCCAAAATGTATTCATCTATCTTTTTAGTAAAAAAAAAAAACCCAAATTAGTTTATAACCAAAAATTATAATTTTTTAATTTTTAAATTTTTTACATTTTAATTTTTTTTATATTATTATTTATGTTTTTTTTTTTTTTAACATACTATCACCCTAGCAGTACAGTGTCACCATAGTGACACTGCACTACTTGCGGGGGCTGATGAAGATTTTTTTTTTTACACTGATTGCTTTTACACCTATAAAGGCTGTAAAAGCAATCATTTCTCCTTCTCTCTGTCTGCATTCCTACAGCCATTGAGTTAAAAATACTGTTCGAGCTGTGATTGGTCACAGCTTGTCACATGGTACAAGGCTGTTGTGAATAGCCCTGTACCATGTGATCTCTGTGATCATTTACAGATTTCACACGTACTAAGCAATGATGTCAGGAAGTGACATCTTGTTTACTACTATTCATGTGATCACTGATTGGCCATTAGATGTTAACATACAAAGCTAATTCAGAACAAATCTGAACCAAAGGCTATACTCCAAATGAATATCTGCCCTGATCAACTAAGATATGTGCTACCAAAATGTAATCCAGCAAATTCAGGCAGCAAAGGTCTTTATTCCCTAATGCCAATTCCACACAACCGATAGCCTTCCCTAGAAGCATCTCAACATAAAGGACAGCAAATACTCAGAGCAAATACTTCCCAGTTCCCAAGTTGATCTGGTTGTTAGTGGGCGCTAGTGTTATGTCAGCAGCAAGGATGGCCAAATCTGTAGCTACACTCAGGAAACTAGGACCAAACTATATACAGAAAAGTAAAGGTATTAATAGCAAAACAAAACACATGCAAACACCAACAAAACAGCAAACATCAAGATATAAGTGAACAAGGGCAGACTGACCATTTGGGAACTCGGGCACTGCCTGAGAGCCCGGGGTCAGTAGGGGACCCCATGAGATGCCCCTGGTACCTTTCATAGGCTTTTTTGGGTGTGGTTTGAGTGTGGGTGAGGACACAGGGGCCCCATGATCCCCTATTGCCGGGGGGCCCCATGAGTTGTCAGTCCACCCTTGGCCATGATGTTTTCACTCCTTAGTGTGCCAGAGGTTGAGTCTTTGGTGTGGTTGGAAGATGACACAACTTACTTCTTTGAATAGTACTCAGCTTGTTCCCAGCAGGTGATGTTAGATTGTATTACTGATGTGCTCTTTCTACTCAGACAAGGGAGATATGAACCAAACTTTGTTCAGCCTCTGCTCCAAGTCTGGTCAGAGATATTATTCCCAGTTTCAGTTTATTCACACCAAATTCAGATCTGCCTCTATACACCAAGAATCCCTTCCTCCTTCCTCAACTATAGCTGCTAGTGAGTGTTCCTTCCCTCCTGTATACCAGTACCCTGCATCATTACCACACTAACCCTGATTTTAAGGATCCCCCTACAGTTCTGTTACCCATGGCAACCATCTTCCTCTGCTTCTGCTAACTTTCCCTCTATGTTCCCTAGTTAGGGTTGTCACCTCATCCCTTTAAAACCGAACATATATAATTACACAGGTTCTGAGACTAATTTAACCCCCCTGGCGGTATTTCTGAGTGTAGCTCGGGGTTAACTTTCAGTACCAAAGCGGTAACCCCCCCAAGCTACACTCGGGAATACACTGCAGCATTGCTCTGGGATCCCTCCAGCACTTACCTTGTCCTTTGCTCCCGCGATGTCCCCCCTGCAGTGTCCCCGGCCATTTCCTCCGGCCAATGCCGGCATCTGTCTTCCGAGTTCCATTCCCTGCGACGTCGGGACATACGGAGGATGGAACCGGCGGAAAATTCGGAAAAATGTTAAAAGTGACATTCACTAAATACACTAAAATCACATAGTATAACATTCCTGTATCAAACCATTTCACATACATTTTGTCCCGAGTGCTTTGTCCTGCGCCCTGCCTGCATTTTTACTGTTCTTTCTGCCTGGAAACTGAGAAATGTCCATGGCGTCCAAAAAGCGTCCCTTTAGGTCAAAAGCGGTTTTAGACCGGCTAGAGAACAGCGATAGTAAATCAGAACCACTTGCAGAATTGAGTGATAATGATTGGTGGGGAAATTTGTCATCAGACACTGAAAACGATTCTGCGACTTTGATCAGTGACGTGCGAACTTGGCGCTCTATTTCAAATTTCAGTGTTTTTGGTTTGATTATATTATTGAATTAAAGTTATTATTATTATATTATTATTTTTTATGATTATTTATTATATTGTAATTTATGATTTTGTGTTTCAAATTTTATCATACCCGGGATGGTTACTAGACTCTTTTCGGACAGATTTCAGTGAGTTATTCCTAAGAATTACAGGCCTACAATAAACAAAAACAACATATTTCCATGCAAAAAAAATGTACCGCTTTGAGCACAGAAATACTGACATAATCAGACTGCTAGGGAGGTTAATGCAGATAAGGCACCAAGTAAGTTTAATTACCACCTCAATCAGCCACAGAGCCTGTGTAGTTATTATGTGTTCAGTTTTAATGTCTCCTACTAAATACCTTGTACTGTCTACTTTCCAAAAAAGGGGTCATTTTGGGTTATTTGTGCTGTCCTGACATTTTAGGGCTGTGAGACAGGCCGTTGGTACATCAGGATTGATCCACTTTCAAATATACTACTTTGTAGACTCTATAACGTTCACACCGACTAAATAATATACACTGATTTGGGTTATTTTTTATCAAAGAAATGTAGCAGAATACATTTTGGCCAAAATTTATGAAGACAAATTATTCATTTGCATACTTTATATCTGAAACTAAGAAAAACTGTTTTCAAAATTTTCTTTTTTTTTTTTTTTTTATATAAACCAAAAAATAAAAATCCAATGGTGATCAAATACCATGAAAGTAAATTAAGCTCTGTCTGATTCAAAACAATGACAAAAATGTAATTTGTGAAGAGTGCATGCATGAGTACTGAGCACTCAAGCACTTGAGTCATTCAAAGCATAGCAGCACTGAAATCTGAAAAATGACCTGGCAGGAAGGGAGAGAAAATTTACAGTCTTTAGGTGATTGACTACTGGCCTGTGGGTTAGGGGGGACTGTACCTTTGACAGGTCCCTGTGTTTCTTCCAGTAGTTGGGGCACTTTCTTAGGACAAAGATCTAGAGGCCTGATCTCTAATCCATGTTGTCGGGTGCTTTGTTCCTAAATCTGTTGCTATATTCAGGGGCGTTTTTACCACAAGGCAAACAAGGCACTTGCCTAGGGCAGCATTTTTCAGGGGGGCAGCACATCCCCCCAGAAGAAGGGATGGAAGAAGGGTCACGTGCATCATGGGAACCAGGTGGGATCTGAGAGAGGCTGCGGGCTGCTTGATGGTGTATGTAGAGCCTGACTCTCGTTCCCGGTGATGTCCAGAGCTGTGAAGGTGGGTGTCTTTTTCTATTGCCAGGGGGGTTAGTGGAAGGTACTCCCAGTCAGTGTCAGGCTCTCTCTGTGGGAGGGGAAGGGGGGGATAAATGGTTGTGTCTGTGGGGCAGATGATTTTTGTGTTGCCTAGGTCAGCAGAAAACCTAAATACACCACTGGCTATATTGCTTGCACACTGTTACTGGTACAGATTGTTGTTTATTGATACTGCTGTTGTTTTACCCTGCTGGTTGGTGTAACCCCCAAAAATAACTCTTTTCTTAGCCTCAAGGTGAGTTGGAAAGTATGGTATTATTTAGAGAGTCACCAGCACCAGGAACAGAAGGACCCAAACATCTAACGGCTCCTTCGGGGGTGGTGTCACACTCATTTTTATCTCTATAGGCTGCACATCTCCAACAGGACTCTGGATCAGAGGCATTACACTTCCACCTGTTCAGTCTTTATATTTCAGTCTTTTGTCCTTTCAGAACCTGAAGGAATCAGATGATGACATAACACTGCGGTGGCAACTCCTGGAGCAAAAGATTCCTCTTTACGCCAACGAGAAGGAGATTCTCCAGAGGACAGCCGAGCACCTCCATGCTCATTATTAATTTATGGTTTAAAGCTGAAGCTTTTATGGTTGTATCTTCCATCTCTGCTTTCTCATTACTCCCCCCGCATGTCATCAACATGGTAATTATATTTTAAAATAAAAACTGTTTTCATGAAATACCATATTTTGTGTCCAATTACATCATCACTGGGTTTCTGTTCCTCTTTGTGCAAGCAGGCAGATCATGGCTGGTGGGAGGGGCTGGCAGAGTGACTTCCCCCATTGGAATACACTATTTTGTGGACATTTTCCAACAGGTCCCCACTGAACCTGCTGAATTTTGATCCAGGTATGGCCTGTTATGAGCATCCCCAAACCCAATTATGCAAAGGCACCAGAAATTTACACCAAATTGGTTGACTGCAAGTAGAGTGTATTGCTACGGGTTAAGGGTGAGGATCTGTGCAAAGATGAATCAACCAGTCGAAAATCTAGTACTCTAAGCTGATTAAGGCTAGGTTCACACGAATGTGGTGCAGTACATCGCATGTTATTCGCACAGGAACCGCACTGCATTCGATTCGATCACATGCGATTTGTGTGCAGTGCGATTGGAGCCATACATTTTGTATGGCTCAAATCGCACCGCTCTTGCACCAAAAAGGTGCAGGACTCTTTTTTGGGTCCGCACTAGAATCGGATCGCATGGGTATTCACACCTACGCAATCCGATTCTGCACATCGCACCGTGTTTTGCGCAGGGGCTGACTGACCATTTGGAAACTCGGGCACTGCCCGAGGGCCCGGGGTCAGTAGGGGGCCCCATGAGATGCCCCTTGTCACGATATGGGTCTCTGCCAGTCCCAGGTATTAATTCCTTGTTCCTAATCCCTCCTGGCCATAGGAAGAGCTTCCTCCAATTAGTATTCACTCCTGTGTGCCAAAGACCCCTAGCTGTAATTAACTCGCCACTCCACAAAAGGTCCCAAATTTAGGAAGAGCTTCCTCCAATTAGTATTCACTCCTGTGTGCCAAAGGCCCCTAGCTGTAATTAACTCGCCCCTAAACCAAAAGGTCCAAAATTCAATTAGTGTATACATCCCTAATTAGTGCCTTACTTTTGTATTAATGTATTTCCCCCACTAATTATCCTGCCCAACCAGTCCTTTCTGTGTACAGCCACAAATTAAATTACTGTAGTTCCATTCTCTTCATTGTCACCTGCTAATGACCCCCCTCTGCCTCTCTTCCTGCTCAGGGGGTTTAAGAGGTCAGTGCTGGTCTCTCTTGTTGTGCCATTCTGCTGGGCAACCACTGAGGGGTCCAGCTGGACTCTAGTGGCCCCCCAGCTCTGCCTGAGCCCCATTGGAGGAAGGGGGATCCTAGAAGCTACATCAGCCCTGCCTGGAATGCTGTCAGCTCTGCCTGAGACTATCGCATCAGCTTTGCATGAGTGCATGCTTCCCTTGTGCTATCTGACTGCTTATGAACTACCTCTTGGATTACAAATTGCTGTAGAGCCTTTAACTTTTGCCCACCGGGGCTGGATTACAAGTATTTTGGACTCTCTCTCCCTGCACTACTCCCCATTGATTGACTGTTGTCTGTTTTAATAAAGCTTTAAGTGTTTGCCGTCTGCCTTGTGTGTTCTGTCCCGCTTACCCTCCGTTACACCCCTGGTACCTTTTTCATAGGCTTTTTTGAGTTTGGGCAAGGACACAGGGGCCCCATGATCCCCTATTGCCCGGGGGCCCCATGAGTTCTCAGTCCGCCCCTGGTTTTGTGCACCGATTTAGGGGTGTTGTTAACACACACACCTGCATCAGTTCGCGTGAACGGGGTGCGATTCTGATGCGGTACGGAATTCACACAGAAAACGCTGTGAATTCCGCACCACATCAGTGTGAACCCAGCCTAACAGTTAGAAAGCATCAGCCTGTAGTACCTGTTATACCACAGAAATACATCAGATAAAGAATAACCGCAATAAACAGTATCCAATGCTGATAGGAGAATGGCTGACCAATTGACTTGTGTAGCAGCGATCAGGCCCTGTTCACATTAGGAGATTTGGAATCCTGTTCAGAATTGCTGCGATTCTGCCCAACATTCCAAATTGTGACAAAATGTATGCATATTGTGGCAATTGCAGCAAAATGTGTGTTTAAAAATTGCACTAAGCCTGTCAATCAAAAAAGGAGGAGGAGCTTCTTTTGGGTGACAAACGCGCATAGGGCAGCCCGTTCAAGTGAATGAGCTGCCCTATGTGCAACATGTGATTTCCCACAATCCATCAGGTTATACATCAGAATCTCTCTAGCACTGGTGGATAGAAGTGGAACAGCACTGCCCAGAATAGCATAGGACAGGGGTGTCCAATCTGCGGCCCACTGCTGTGCAACCTAACTATGTGATTATGAAGAGAAGCACCTCGGAGGCAGAATGGTTTTTATTGTTGGTTTGACTGGTAGAGTTTGGTGTTTGAATCTAAACATTTGGTATATGAAAAATATCTTTTTTTAGCTTTTTGCCTGGAATTCTTTAACCACTTGCCCTCCAGAGGATTTACCCCCCTTCCTGACCAGGCCATTCTTTGCAATACAGCGCTGCGTTACTTTAACTGACAATTGCACAGTCATGCAACACTGTACAGGTGAAACTCGAAAAATTAGAATATCGTGCAAAAGTTCATTTATTTCAGTAATGCAACTTAAAAGGTGAAACTAATATATGAGATAGACTCATTACATGCAAAGCAAGATAGTTCAAGCTGTGATTTGTCATAATTGTGATGATTATGGCTTACAGCTCATGAAAACCCCAAATCCACAATCTCAGAAAATGAGAATATTGTGAAAAGGTGCAATATTCTCGGCTCAACGTGTCCCACTCTAATCAGCTAATTAAGCCATAACACCTGCAAAGGGTTCCTGAGCCTTTAAATGGTCTCTCAGTCTGGTTCAGTAGGAATCACAATCATGGGAAAGACTGCTGACCTGACAGTTGTGCAGAAAACCATCACTGACACCCTCCATAAGGAGGGAAAGCCTCAAAAGGGAATTGCAAAAGAAGTTGGATGTTCCCAAAGTGCTGTATCAAAGCATATTAATATAAAGTTATGTAGAAGGGAAAAGTGTGGAAGAAAAAGGTGCACAAGCAGCAGGGATGACCGCAGCCTGGAAAGGATTGTCAGGAAAAGGCCATTCAAAAGTGTTGGACTTTCACAAGCAGTGGACTGAGGCTTGAGTCAGTGCATCAAGAGCCACCACACACAGACGGATCCTGGACATGGGCTTCAAATGTCGTATTCCTCTTGTCAAGCCGCTCCTGAACAACAAACAACATCAGAAGTGGCTTATCTGGGCTAAAGAAAAACAGACCTGGTCTGTTGCTCAGTGGTCCAAAGTTCTTTTTTCTGATGAGAGCAACTTTTGCATCTCATTTGGAAACCAAGGACCCCGAGTATGGAGGAAGAATGGAGAGGCCCAAGGACCCCCCAAGGACCCCGAGTATGGAGGAAGAATGGAGAGGCACACCAGAGTATGGAGGAAGAATGGAGAGGCACACACTGCAAGATGCTTGAAGTCCAGTGTGAAGTTTCCACAGTCTGTGTTGATTTGGGGAGCCATGTCATCTGCTGGTGTTGGTCCACTGTGCTTCATTAAGTCCAGGGTCAACGCAGCCATCTACCAGGAGATTTTGGAGCACCTAATGCTTCCTTCCACAGATGAGCTTTATGGGGATGCTGACTTCATTTTCCAGCAGAACTTGGCACCTGCCCACACTGCCAAAAGCACCAAAACCTGGTTCAATGACTGTGGGATTACTGTGCTTGATTGGCCAGCAAACTCGCCTGACCTGAACCCCATAGAGAATCTATGGGGCATTGCCAAGAGAAAGGTGAGAGACATGAGACCGAACAATGCAGAAGAGCTGAAGGCTGCTATTGAAGCATCCTGGTCTTCCATAACACCTCAGCAGTGCCACAGGCTGATAGCTTCCATGCCACGCCGCATTGAGGCAGTAATTGCTGCAAAAGGGGCCCAAACCAAGTACTGAGTACATATGCATGCTTATACTTTTCAGAGGTCCGATATTGTTCTATGTACAATCCGTGTTTTATTGATTGCATGTAATATTCTCATTTTCTGAGATTGTGGATTTGGGGTTTTCATGAGCTGTAAGCCATAATCATCACAATGATGACAAATCAGCTATCTTGCTTTGCATGTAATGAGTCTATCTCATAGATTAGTTTCACCTTTTAAGTTGCTGCACTGAAATAAATAAACTTCATTTTGTACAGGTGAAACTCGAAAATTAAAATACCATGCAAAAGTTCATGTTTTTGTTTTTTCCCCACATATAGAGTTTTTTTTTTTTTCGGTGGTATTTAATCACCTGTGTGATTTTTTTTTTATTTTTTGCGCTATAAACGAAAAAAGGCCGACAATTTAATTGTAATCTAAATCGTAATTGGTTTACGTGAAAGTTTATAGCGTCTACAAATGGAGGTATATATACTAGAAATTTTAATTTAATTTATTTTTTACTAGTAATGACAGTTATCAGTGACTTATTGCAAAACTGCGACACTGGCTGGCATTCTGACACTGGGGGGGGGGGGGGGGGGACTGACTAACTGCCACTGACATCCCAGTGACACTAATACAGTGATCAGTGCTAATAAAAAGCACTGACACTGTACTAATGACACTGGGCGATAAGGGGTTAACATCTGGGGCAATCAAAGGGTTAACCGTGTGCTGTGTGTGTTTTACTATGTGTACACAAGCTGCTTTGTATTGCTCTCTCGTGCAGAGCAATACAAAGCAGCCTATTCGTGCTGACAGGGGAGAGATCTGTATTGTTTTAATCACCCTGGCGGCGCGGCGGGGGACCCAGTGATTGATATGCCCGGGAGCCAATAGTGGCAGAGGTAGAGACCACGCACGCCCAGAAATACAAAATTACATATATATACGTGATTTTGCACATCCCTGCCGCCCTGTAGCTGTAGCAGTACTTCTGCTATTAGGGCAGTCAGGAAGCGGTTAA